TTAAAACTTTATTATTTAGAAGTTTAATCTTATAATCCTATTAGTTATATTCTAGTAGTCTAATATTAAGTTCTTTATTAAAAACTTTTATATACTAAAAGTCTACTAATATATTTTTTAAATATTCTAGAGTATTTTAGTCTTAGTAATATAAATCCTTAACCTTTTATATAATTAAGTTAAGGAATCTAAGCTATTTCTTTTTTAATTTCTTAACGTATTTAACTATTCTTAAGAACTTTTATAATTCTATAATAAGTATTTATTTTATAACTATTTCTATTTCTATATATTTTTATATCTTTTTTTTATTTAATATAAGGGTCTCTAATCCTATTATTAGGAATATTATTATATCTTATTAATCCTCCTAATTTAATTATAATTTCACTAAGAGATTAATTAATTAAGCGTAGGGTTACTATATTATATAGCCTTCCTCTTAATTAATATTAGAGTTATATAACTCTAGCTAATTATATCCTAAGAGTATATTATATCCTAAAATATTAATAATATTAAACTTTAAATAATTTAAGATTTTACTAAACTAGATTTTAAAGTAATTAGTCTTATAGTTAATAATTCTATTATTATAAGTAAAAGGTTATTATTTAATATTAGTAAACGCATATAGTTTCTCCTTCTTATAGTTAATTAACTTTAGGTAGTTAATAAGTTAAAACGTAATATAGCTTATTATAGCTCCTAAGTCTATATAAATTATAATTAAGTATTTTTCTAAAGTATTAAGCACTTAGAATTTTTATAATTTCTATCTTAAGATAATATTTAAATTATAATAAATTATATTATCTATATTATTATAATAGTTATTATTATAAAAGTTAATAGCTATATTATCTAAATTTAAGGTAATTTATCTTAGTTTATTATTTTAAATATTATAGTATTTACACTAAGTATATCTAAGTTAAAAAACATTTCTAGCAGTAAGCTTATAATACTTCTAAAATTTATTCTAGTTAATTCTTTATAATTTATTATTAATACTATATTTTATAAAATTAAACCCTTATTATTTTAAGTTATAGGTAATATATATAAGGGTATATTATTAACGTTAGTGTTTTTTATAATAATTTTTATTATAAAATATAAACTTATTTTATTTATATTTTATAATTTTATAGTCTTTATACTATTCTTAAAGTTTAAGTATAATATATTATTTATATAATAGGAGTTTATAATTAACTATATTAACTTTATTATATTAATCTATAATTAAAATATTATTAATATAATAAAAAGCTAATTTTAATACCTTAGCTATTAAGTATTTATTTATATAATTTTTAATATATTATTAAAACTAATTTCTAAGTAATTTAGTTTTATTAAAGGCAGTATATAGGTTAATTTATTTAGCCTAATTCTATTATTTTAAGAGTTTCTAATACTTTTTAAATTCTTTTTATTAAATTATTTTATTATAGTATTTATTTTCCTTAATAATACTTTTAAGTTTATATTAATTTTTAAAGTATTCTTAATTTACTATAGTTATTTTATAAAAGTAGTAAATACTTTTAGGTTCTATTAACCTATATTAGTTATATATATGTTTTTTAAAGTTATTTAGTTCTTCCTAAGTTATCCCTTTATAAAAGTTATATTATATTAAGGGTATAATATTTAAAAAATCTTTATTATATTATTATATAGTTTTATTTTATTTTTATTTATAAATAACTTCTTCCTTATTTTTAAAATTAAGTAAGTTTTCTTATTTTATTATCCTATTATTTTCTAAGTATAATTATATAATTATAAGTTTTATATTATTAAAAGCTTACTAAACTAATATTTAAGTATAACTTATACTTTTTTAGTATTAGTTATTTATAAGTATAATATATTAGTTTTTAATTTTTACTATTTCTTTTTAAGTAATTTCCTTAAATATATTTAAGGTCTAGGTATTAATTAATCCTTTAGGGAACTAGCTTAATTTTTACTTATTACTAAGGTATATTTAGTATTTATTATTATAATATATTAAGAAGTATAATATATTATAGTTTACTAAGGGTTATATAGTATTAATAGCTTAGTTTTCCTTAGGTTTTAGAATAAAAGTAAATTTCTTATTATTATTTTTTTTTAAAGCTTAATAGTATTTTTTTATATATTCTTTCTTTCTATAGTTATAATATTTAATATTCTTATATTATACTTTAATAATATTAAGGTTTATAAGTCTTAGTTTTTTATTATTATATAATATAATATTTTATTTTTTTCCTTAGTTAATATTATTACTAAAGTAAAAATACTTAGGGATTATTTTTTATATATTTCCTTTTTATTTATATTCTTTATATTATTTAAATAAATATTTATTAATATAAGTAGCTTTTTTAGAAAATTTATTTAAAGTATTAGGTAACTTATCTTAGTATAACTTATTTTTAATATTAGATTTTAGTCCTTAGTAGTAGAGTATATATTATACTTTATTATTTAAGTTAATTCTTATAGCTAAGTATATAAAAGCAGCTATATATTTAATATATAGTCTAGTTTATTTAATTTATAAAAGTACTTTTTTTACTTTTTTAGCTTTATTAATTTTTTTATATAGCTTCTTAAGCTATTTTTCAAAAGTAATATAATTAGTAAATAGTTTATTAATATACTATTTCTTTAATTCCTAAGTTTATTTAAAATCTCTAAGATATAGTTTAAATTAGTCTTTAGTAGTTTTAAATAAATAGGTTCTTATAGTTTAAACTTTTATAATATTACTAACTATAGTAATTAAAAAGTAACTAAAGTAGTTTCTTATATTTATAAAGAATTTTTAAATTTACTTAGGGTTTTCTTTAAATTTATTTAGCAGTAGTAATTTAATAATTTCCCTAGGTTTTTATTAATATACTACAGGGGCTGGGTTTATTATAGGGTTTCTTACTAATTATTATCCTTAGAAAGTTATAATAGTAACTGCTTAAGTAATAATAGTTTTAAGTAGTTCTACTACTTATTTTTTAAGTATTATAAAGTAGTTATTAGCCTTATCTTAGTTAGTAAATAATTATAAAGTTATTATAATATCTTTAGTAATATTTTTAAAATTATTTTAGATTTTAATATTATTATTATAACTACTTTAAGCTTTACTTTTATAATTAGTATTATTATCTAAGACTCTAAAGCTTATAAACTACTAAGTTTTTAATATCTTATTACCTATAGGTCTAAGGTAACTATTTAAATAAAAGTTATTATTATATAATAAATTAATACCTATATATTAGTATAAATAATACTTTTCCTAAAGGATAAACCTTAGAGAAGTTTTATAGTTTATATTAGTAAAGTAATTAGGTTAGTTAATAGGTAATCTTATTACTAGTTAATAATATAAATAAAAGTAAAGGTTTAGGTTTTAATTTAATTATATTATAAACGCTATAGCTATAATAATAATTAGCTATTTAAGTATTTTAATAAGTAATATAAAGTAAACTTATATATCTAGTTATATATTCTAAAGTTAAGTAAAATTAATTATAATTTTAATTAATTTGTCTATACGTTAATTAAAATTAACGTTAATTCCCATTAACCGCTTCCTAATTAACTATGCGGCCTAACGTTAATCTAAGAGCGCCTACCCTATAGGCCCCTTATTGCGACTATAAAAGCCAGGTCATAACAGTGCTATATAATAACTATAAGTTTTATAAAATTATAAAAGTTAAAAATAAATATAGTTATTATTATATATTTATTTTATATATTTAATATAAAGCCTTTGTAAACTTACTCTTATACCTTTTTACTTTTTTTTACTAACCTGACTTTTGATATAAATATAGTAAGCCTAAGATATAAAAATATTTTATAAAGTATTATATAATAACCCCTTTTTTCCTTAATATATTAAAAAAGGAAATATATTTTAAAACTATTTATATTTAATACTTCCTTAGTAATAAAAAATATAAGGATTTTTAAAAATTAATAAAAAAAATAAACTTATATAGCCCCCCCTTTATAAAAATAAATATATAAAATAAAATTAACACTTTCCTATTTCCTTTATTATACTAAAATATAATAAATACTTAATTTAAACTTAGCGGCTTTTATTATCCTAGTGCCTAGATAAGGACTTATATAACTAGCTTACTTAATAGATATTAATAATAAAATAAATAAATAAATAATTTAAAATAATTAATGACCTCGGCTGCGCGAATGGGTAGCTACAGCACTGGAAAGCTCGGGGACAGTTACGGCTGCTCGGAGCATCATTAACGACTCTGGATTCAGAGGATTGTGGCGCGGTAGTACAATGAGACTTGGCCGCCCTCTACTCAGTGGTGGAATAGTATTTACCGTATATGAAATACTACCGGAATAATAGAGGCTGTTATAACTTCTTAAAATTCTATAGAACATCGTTACTAGGCCATGGACACAATTCTCAACGTTTCATGCTGGCCTACACCTCAAACAATTGCAGGTTGGTAGAGTATCGACTGTCACTATTACAGCCTGGAGAAAGAAGGAGGACGTGTCGGTGGAGTTAGGTAAGTGCCGCACACTTGTAGGTAGGATTAGTCTCAATTGTGTGAAGATGCGAATAGATTGGTACAAAGCTGGCATTTGAACTCCATGATTAGAAAATATGCAACATCTAGATCTCGTCTACGTGAAGTTTTGTTTGTGGTGGACTTACTACTAAATGAAAACAGGAAATTTTAGCATGCACGGCATATGAAATGAAAGAATGAATAGAGGGGCAAAATTGCATACTTCTTCCGTTTGATAGGTTAGAGACTGAAAACTTCAATTTAGGCTAGCTCAAACCTTCTAGTGGTTCAAACTTCGAAAACCGTGAATAGCAACGGGATGCTGCGTATGGATCCGAAGGCTACAACATCTCCGCAAACCAAATTCGTATTTTTCGTTGTCATACGCAGCCATTGATTTCACCATTAAATCATCGAATCATCCCTACACTAATGGGTCTGCTCTTGAAAGAAGTGGACGTCCTTGTTGTTGGCGGCGGCAATGCTGGGTTCAGCGCTGCCATCTCGGCAGCGGAGTCCGGGGCTAAACGCGTGATGCTTATCGACGCATGCCCAGAGCATTGGGCTGGAGGAAACTCACACTTCACAGCCAGGGCATTCAGAACCGTTTATCATGGACTGAAAGACTTACTTCCAATTGTGAACAATGTGGGCAAAGCCATGGCAAAAAGAATTGACATGAAAGCTTATACCACGGACGATTTCACGCAGGATATTCATCGCATCTGCAGCGGTCGGTCTGATCCTGAGCTGTCCCGAATCCTTGTGCATGAGTCAAACGCTGCGGTCAAGTGGCTTGCTAAACATGGGGTGCGGTTTCAACTGCCTTTTAACCGGCAGGCTTATGAAGTTGATGGCCGGTTCACATTCTGGGGCGGTCTATCCCTGAAGACATAAGATGGAGGCAAAGGCCTGATTGAAGATCTTCGACGGGCTGTGAATACACTTGGTATACACGTTGTCTTTTCTACGGCCGCTAAACGTTTGGGAGTTGACGCACGAATTGGTTCTGTGCGGTCTATTTTCGTGCAGACTGCTGACGGTATCGAGTAGGAGATTCGAGCCATAGCAGTTATTCTGGCGGCAGGTGGATTTGAGGCCAATTCTCGGATGATAGCGCAGTATCTCGGCCCTAACTGGAACCTTGCTAAACTACGCGGGACGCCGTACAATATAGGTACATGCTTAGAAATGGCCATCCGAGATGCGTCTGCCGAGGAAGCGGGCAACTGGTCTGGCTGCCACTCTGTCGCTTGGGACGCCCATGCCCCCCCGCATGAGGGCGATAGACTCATATCAAATGATTTCACCAAATCAGGCTACCCTCTTGGCTTAATGGTCAATACCGAAGGAGATCGGTTTGTGGATAAGGGCGTCGACCTAAGGAATTACACGTACGCCATATTCGGAAAAGCCATCCTTGCTCAGCCAGGTCATACCGCGTTTCAAGTTTGGGATTCCCAAATGACACCCTGGCTTCGCGATGAGGAGTATCGAGAGGGTCGGGTGGAAAGGATCATGGCCTCGTCACTGTCAGAGCTGGCTGAGAAGTGTGCGAAGCATGAATTGACAAACCCAGGTAAACTCGTGGAAACAATCACACAATATAATGAAGCTGCCATTGCTTTCCAAAGAGAGAATCCCTCGAAAAGGTGGGATCAGGCTGTGAAAGATGTCTTTCTACCCATCCGAAAACTAAACGTCTTTCCTTGGCCAAGTCTAATTGGGCTGTCCCTCTCGTCAAAGGTCCATTTATGGCCGTCAAAGTAACATGTGGTGTTATTTTCACCTTTGGAGGCCTTGCGGTGGATCCGAAGACTACAGGGTTGATTTCATCGACATTTAACTCCGTGATCCCGGGACCCTATTGTGTGGGTGAGATTCTGGGTGGCTTGTTTTATGGTAACTATCCCAGGGGTTCTGGTCTGACTTCTGGAAGTGTTTGGCAGAAGAGCTGGCAAAGCCGCCGCAGCTGCTACCAATACATAGAATGAAGATCTCCAACTACCATCGAGGCTGTAGAAAGCTGTAGATGATTAGAGATATACACAGCATTACGTTAGTGATTATCGAAGCGATAAAGGAGCTTAGAAAACTCAGCAGAATGCCCTCTCCTTGGGCATAGCTAGAAGTCGCAAATCTCAATAATGGTACAGGCATGATGCGACGCAACGGTTAATGCCCACGTACGAAAGCGGGCTAGCATGGTACTTTTACATTGAGAATATATCAAGACTTTGGCCCGTAGCTGAGCCTCTGGACACAGGCACGGTAGGAGTACCCGTGGGGCTTGTCAGTGCCTGCGAACGACCATTCGGAGGCGTCAAGGAGAGCGGCAACGGCCGAGAAGGATCCAAGTTTGGCGTTGAAGACAACACCAATGTGACGAGTACTACAGTAGGTATATGACGCGGCAGCTACAATGAAGAAAGAAAAGACGTCACCGACTTGTATATGTTATATAACACGGCCGCATAGGATTACATGTAATACTGCTCAATTTAAAGACGTGGGGAAGCTTCAGCTTGAACTGGCGCCACCGTCAATACATCCCTATTCGGAAGTTGCTAGCCAATCATATAAGTTTTCAATCAGTCCTTACCTATCTAATGTCACATCCCTTATAATACAGCAAAGGAATTCGACACGATGACTGACATCCATGGCACGAGCGCGTCATAAGCATGAGGTTAGATGATTAGCGCTCGAATAAAACGACCGAGGCTATGTGCTAATCCTTCGGTTTAAGCCTTGATGTTAGGCAATCTTCCTCTGGTGGAATAGAAATGCAATCCTTCTGGTTGGGGCGGTGTACTAATAACACTGTTCAGCCTGACCAACATAACAAGCGGCACAAGACTTCATTCGCATGAGTTGGGGTTTGACATCAATTACAGCGGCACATGGGGCTAAATTAAGTTAGCCCAAGTCCATCGAAGGATCGCCCCACCTATTGAGATGGCATCGAATCGTTACGTCGATGTTTGTGGCCTCAGCGCGTCATAAGTCTAAATTAAGCACAAGGAGGTTTGGGATGATACAGCGTCATAATAGTTCGGTATTGAGAGGCATTGATATGCCCTGCGTGAATCGTGCAAATAGGGGACTTATTCGTATATATATATATATAGGGCCCTTTTCTCGTAGGTGGTGCGCTGGTAGCTAATTCGACATTAACATCTCAATCTTTGCCTTAGACCTTCAATATGCATTTCTTTTGCAGCATTATCATCTTTCTTCACGCATTTTGGCTAACGCCAATATTCGCGGACACCTTGGGACCAAGCTATCCGATGCCACTTGATCTTACTAGCCGTCATAGTCTCGTTGCCGCTAGTTTCAGAAACCTCACCTCAACCCTGGACACGTACCTCAAGGATGGCCAGTGGAAAACGCTTCCCCGACCATTGGCAGGCATAACCAACGTTACCTTCTCACTCGGATTATTCTCGCTTCACGATCCTGCAGCCACGGGGTTGCAATATCATTATACATCCCCAGAAATTGCAAACGCCCCAAATGGTACTCACAAAGTTGACGCGAATACCATCTACCGCGTTGCAAGTGTCACCAAGGTCTTCACAGTTCTTACAGGCCTACTTGAGCTGGATGATAGCGACTGGAATCGCCCTCTTACAGAGATTTTATCTCCTCTTAAGGAATTTGCCAAGAAAAAGAATGGTGATAGAGATCCCATATATACTGTGGAATGGGACAAAGTCACTCCAAATGCTCTAGCAGCTCAGATTGCTGGCGTTCCACGAGATGGATTCCCTGACACAAATGATCTCGCATTTCAAACTATCATTCAGTCAATAGCCGGAGTGCCGCTGAACCCAGATCCGGTGAAGTTAGGTCTCCCACCAATCAGCCGGAATAATACGTTTGTATATTCGCCGTGTTTGTTCTCAAACGCATCAAACTGCCCACCTGTTCCATATATAGAGAGCAGCGACGGGAGAGCACCAAGCTTCTTACCTTACACAACGCCTGGATATGCCAATAACGGATTCTCACTTCTTGGCCTCGCTATTGAAAATATTACTGGGAAAAGTTTTGAGAATATGTTCGACGAAGACATTTTTGGGCCACTTGATATGACATCCTCCAGCGCCGTCACACCTCCCAAGTCCGAGTGGCATCGATCTGTGATTCCCGGTGACATCAGTAATTTTGACGTTGAATCTGGTGTTTATATCACCTCAGGTGCAGTTCTATCAACTATCAACGATATGGCGAAATTGGGTGTTGGTATTCTAAATTCTACTTTATTACCATCTGACCAGACACGTCGGTGGATGAAACCCTTTTCACATACCGCCGACTTGAGGCAATCTGTTGGCCGCCCATGGGAAATTCACCGCTATACTCATCCATCAGGAGTTATTACGGATCTCTACACAAAATCTGGGGACTCCGGCGATTACAGTGCCTACTTTGTCCTCCTGCCAGATTACGACGCGGGCTTCACTATCCTCGCCTCTAGCTCACAAGTCACGCGGTTCTTAACCTTGTCTGCACTTATGGATATTATCATTAACTCTGTGATTCCATCTCTTACGGCACAGGCGGCTGCCGAGGCTGAGCATCGGTTTGCGGGTTTCTACTACTCTGAGAACTGCAACTTGAACTCCTCCCTTACTCTGGCTGTTAACCAAAGTGTAGCTGCAGCGCCTGGTCTTGTGATTTCGTCTTGGATCAGCAATGGAACAGATATTCTCAAATCACTTGCTCCTACCATAGGCCCTGGCCCTTGGCGACTGCTGCCCTCCATCTCAGACTCTGCACACGGGAAGGTGGCCTTCCGATTCGTTACCGATCTCGATGCGCCAAAGATCAGCTCAGCAACAGAGAACAAACTATTCACAGATTTTCCTTTGGCAGATTGGGTGAGTGTTGATGCCACTGCATACGGCGGAATAGCCACAACACTGTTCATATTCGATGTGGCGAAAGATGGGACTGTGAATGCAGTAAGTCCATCTGCCCTTCAAGTCAAATTGGCGAAGGAGCATAAATAGTGCCGAGCGCATACACATAAAGTGGGTATAGATTATAGTTCATTGTCATAGGTAGGTATACTCGTATAGAGCTTATGGGGCGAATGAGATTGAGTCATCACCTCTTATCACATACGGCAGGAGTTACGCTCAAACTATCATTGAGGTATTAGAGTGAATAGCGCATCATGTATCAGCTTCCTAGTCAATATAGGTACGATAAATCAATGTCATGAACAGTTGCACAATCAAATGTGAGGCAGCGAGGGTATTCTATTTATATCCGCGTGATTGTTCGGTTTAGGCATGTGACCCCGGAAGCCTGCGGTAGACTTGAACAGTTTTTTTAGGTGTCGATGCGAATCGCAAATGATCGGGCGGATTTTGGTCCAGTAAAACACTAATTATGTACCTAAGTATGCGCCAACATCATGAAATTACGCGAGTGCATAGGTACAAAATATCATAAGCCGGTAAAGTATAAGTAGCATCACTTACCTGTATTATTGTATCAAATTACCATCGTCTGGGAGATTGATCAGTTGGCATATGAGGAATTCTTATAGGAACCAAGACATCGTTTGATAAGCCGTTCAGACATGGGCGGGGGGCCTTCCCCACGATGGCGTGCTGGCTCGAAGTTTGACGCGATCTTGGCCTAGAATTACGAAAATCATACTGCATAACAAAGGGACTGTGTAATACGGTGTTAACAATCCGGGCCCAATTAAGATAAAGCAATATTACAAAATAAATATTGGCGGCCAGGGATTTATTTCTTCTATATATAAGACTAAAATTACGGCCTATCACACAGATGAAGCAACATATCGTTAGAGACACTCGATATATCCACTACCGGTAGTTTTGCTAAGATCGCTTGAAATGGGTGATGTTAAAGAATTATCGCATGATCAAAATGCGGAAACCGAAATCGGAGCCATAGAAGATGAGGTCAACGAGAAATCCCTCCTGCGCAAGCTGGATTGGAGGCTTCTACCAGCAGTTGGCGTCTTATATCTTCTCTCGTTTCTGGACCGTAGTAACGGTATGAACGCAGAAAGATAAAACTTCTACTCTACTAACAAAAGATCAGTTGGAAACGCCCGTATAGAGGGCATGGTGACCGACCTTCATATGAGTTCGACATAACCCCCCCTCTTCGCGGCTTTGAGACCTCTAACCTTATCATAGCGGGGAACCAGTATCTTACGGGATTGACGGTTTATTTCATTGGCTATGTTCTCTTTGAGGTCAGTACCAATGATATCGTTTCTAAGCAAAGAAAATGTGTTGATGCTAGATTAGATTCCTTGCAATGTCATTCTTAAGAAAACAAGCCCTCGTTTGTGGCTCCCAACACTGACAATAGCGTGGGGTGTTGTTGCCACGCTTCTGGGAGTAGTACAAAACCTCTCTGGTTTTCTTGTCGCGCGATTTTTTCTAGGCGTTACAGAGAGTGGACTTTTTCCGGGCGTTGTCTTCTACCTATCAATGTGGTACAAGCGAAGAGAGCGGCAGTATCGCATCTCTCTGTTTTTCAGCGCAGCGTCACTTGCAGGAGCATTTGGTGGCATATTAGCATACGTCGGTGTTTTACAGCCTCATGTTAGCTACAGAACGAAGCTAACGAACTTCAATTCGGCAGGGAATTGGGAAAATGGCTGGCGTTGTTTGGAGCAATGGATGGCGATGGATTTTTATTCTTGTGCATCCCTCCAACGCTGTTTCTAAGGATACGTTATATGTATTAACACATCGTCTAGGAAGGGATTGCCACCGTCATCGTGGCTACTATCGCGTACTGGTTTATCGAGAACTATCCAGATACTGCCAAGTTCCTTACCAAATCGGAGAGAGAACTCATTCAGACTAGGCTGGCAGCGGACTGCGACGCGATGATCAAAGAAGAATTCAACTGGAGCGCTGTACTCGAAGCAATTCGGGACCCAAACTGTTGGCTGTATAGCTTGGGCTTCCATACAATGAGCCTACCACTTTATACCCTCTCCTTATTTCTGGTACGTCCTCTAATATTTTGGACGAGTAAATGTTTATTTATACTGAGCTTGTGTCTTAGCCAACTATTATTAGTAACCTTGGATATACAGCAGCAAAGGCCCAGCTGCTTACAATCCCCCCATATGCATTAGCATTTCTCACAACAGTAGGAGTTGCTATTGCATCCGAGAAATTGGGGAAAAGGGCTGTCTTCCTTGCCGGCTCCTCTGTTACGGCGGCGATTGGATATATAATTTTGTTGGCAAATACGGATCCTGTTGCACGGCCGGGGGTGTCATACTTGGGCACATTCTTCGCGGCGGCGGGAATATATCCATCAACCGCACTTGTCCTTTCTTGGCCCGCGATTAATGTGTCCGGCCAAACCAAGAGGGCAATTGCGAATGCAATGCAAATTAGCATTGGGAATCTAGGAGCCGTAATGGGAACACAGCTTTATCGAGCCAACGATGGGCCGAGGTTTGTTGTCGGCCACTCAATGGCCCTGGCATATCTATGCGCAAATGCAATTGTTGCTAGCTACATAGGATGGCGACTAAAGGCTCAAAATAAGGCAAGGGCAGAGATTGCGCCGGAGATTCAGAACGTGGGTGAGGCGTTGGACTGGAAAGGAGACAAGGATCCTCGGTGGAGATTTTCCTATTAGAGGCGTTGTAGATGAAGCACGAACCAAAGAATCTTTCTTATTGGTGTTGAAATGTATGTCAATTGGCCTCAGTCTGTTGCTCTAGCCTACTGGGAAAAGACCGTCTCTTATGCTTGTGGCCCGGACTGACCCCCGTTGACCAAGTACCGCTACTTCTACTAAGTTGGTGCCCCTATTTTCAACAATTTGCATGAATGGAACTGTTTGTGGTTAACAGTATTATTGTACGCTCTTCATAAATTGGATTATATTAAGAGCAATGTCTAAGGCATCACATGTGTAACGTATAAGTATTTTCGAACATTTCTCAGAAAGAGCATTACAAACTACATTCGTGACTTCAATTGCTAGGTCAAGAGGGTTATCTAGCTAGAGAGACACTAGTCGATAATCGTTCATCCAAAAGTCATTAGAAACCAAAAAGATAGTCTATTGTTGTATGAGGGCCTATACCTCCTAGAACGTAGGACAGTACTCGTATGCTCCATGACATGATCCGAGTCGTCGCTTATAGGTCCGCAACGTAAGAACAGTATATTCATGACATCATACAGGAACATTTAAGAGGCATGGACCACCTTGCGCAGCCCAAGGTCATATATATCTCCCGCCCTCACAAAATAAAATAGCCCTGAAGGGTCCGGAATTTGGTTCGCATCGCCGCCATCTCGCGACCAGTATGTTCCATCGTAAATGATAGCATAACTAGCGCCGAAGATCTCCGCCGTGTTCTTGGATACATGAACGGCCGTATTTTCATTAATGGCAATACCAAGAATCCCAGGCTTGTATTTGAGAACGTTAAGCATGTCGAATTGGCGATTTCGTACGAGAACATGCTGGTCGATGGCCACGTTCTTCACATAAGCGAAGCCTTGCTGATGGTCTCCGATGATAAGGCTGTTGCTCTTTGTATCGCCGCGGGCAAGGAAGTCTCCTTGGATCGATGCTCCGGCGGAAGACCCTCCAATGACGCCACCGGCATCTAGCACGGCACGGATCTTTTGTTCAGTGAGCGTTCCTGCATAAGCGTCAACCAAACGCCACTGGCGGCCGCCTCCAAACCAGACACCGGTGGCGTTAAGAAGTGGCTGAACAAATTCCTCAGTGTTTGCAACCTTGGGATCATAAGTATGGAGAACAGTAACGCTCTTAGATCCCAGTCGACGGAAATCATCCGCATTGGCAGCGTTCTGGTCGTAGCTTGGATCACCCTGGGCGGTTGGAATAACGACGATAGAACTGTCATTGCCTCCAGCAAGATCAATGACTTTCTGGAGAATAGAATCGTCCAACGTGCCGCCGCCAACAATTACCAAGTTACCATTCGCAGGGCCAACATATTGCGTCGAGTTATCAGTAGGCAAGGCTGAAACAGCCATGGCCAACGCCAGGATAGACTGTACAATGAAGCGACCCATTGTAGGATAGATCATGCAGGAATGAGCTTTCTATTCTAAGAGAAGTGATGTACTTTTGGACCAAAATCGAAATCTTCGCGGTCATGCTCCCTATTTATATTTTGTTATTTTGCTTTGTTGATCCATCGCACCATAGTGGATCATTCTTAGAAAGTAGACTTCACCATCATCATGCAGTTGGCATCTTTACCCGGCTAAATTCACGATAATAAATGGGTTTGCCAAGCTCTCAGATTAAGAAGCTGCCATTAGCTTCAAGTGCGAGCAAACTCCGAATTAGACTTAAAGCGATCCATTTTCATACATATCCTATGCCTGGCAGTTGGTTAGTGCCGCATCTTTGAACTATTTGGGAGGTTACTTTGGAGAGACGATTGGTTCGGAATTCATAAATGATATGGCGCAATGGGAGGGGTTATAAATACCGAAAATGTAACCCGATGTCCATCTCGCAGTCGGGATAATTCAGCGCGAGATTTGGAGTAGACTCAGAACTTCATTTTTGTTTCGCCTTGGTACTAGTAGAGGATTTAGTATCAGTGGTCGACAATCTAGGCGAGATAATGGCACTATATAAAACCTTTCAAATAGCAATATAATAGCAATCACTGCGTCGCCCAAATGTGTTCTGAGGTCTGTAATCTTAGGGACGCTCTTAGCTATGGGAGCTTTTAACGAGCTTGGAGGGGTAATCCGACAACCGTTGCCAAGACAATCACGGGAGTAGTATTTGTTCAATGTGTCCCCAGATCGTCACCTCAGTCTTGTTTCATCTCACGAAACACCGGGAACATTGATCCAATGAAGTCGTCTTCTAAATTTATATGAATAGTAAAGGTATTTATTTGGTTTGCTTACTTGAAATATTAGATCAAGCCATACATACAAGCTTCTTCTAAAAATTGGAGCGGTCTAGTTCTAAAAAAAAAACACGCTGTCAGAAGGCCACATAGAATGGAAACTAGCAAAGAACATTTTACGCTAAGAATCTAGAGAATTCAGGCTCTGTGTAAGCTAAGTCGTTTGACGCTTATAGTAGAGAGCAATTGAGATTTTACCTCTTAAGTCATCATTTAGCACCTACATCTTCTTGTCGATTTTTCCTGATGCTAAGATATTTCGTTTCTCTCATTACCAGAGAGAGTAGTTATCGCACTTACTGTTGAGCTCTACACTGAACCCTGGTCTCACGAGCGGCTTTTGAATCAAGGGTGTGTTGTCATCTATAACCTGGGAGGAGATGAGACGCTAGAGGGTCGTATCCAGATTGTGTAGATAGTTATCCCAATGCCAAATCATTTCGTTCATATGCACACAATGCTTGAAATTCCTACCATAGGTCATATTTTTCTCCTATGCGATTTTGAGAATCTCACTCATGATGGCCTCATCACACCCCAGGTGCATATTCACATTCCCTGAGCACAGTATCTCAAATTTTACCAGGCGTGGCTACTCAAGGGGAGCTAGGGCAACACTTCAGATACCCAGCCGCTAGAGAAGGACCCCATCTCACCAAAAGTATATGCAAAACTTGCTTTCTAGACATTGCACCGCGGCGTTGACTCTAATAAGCAGTACACATGATTTGTAAAGAGATTTGCAGTGACCGGACAAGCCTGGAGGCAATGATAGCATGATGGGAAAAAGTAGAATGCAACGCAAATATTGTACCAGTATTTTGCCAGCGCGTAATATGGAAATTGAGCCTTTGCTGGTGCTGATCTTAGATTGCCCAGCTTGGATAGAGATATGGCTTTATCCATTATTTCACCGTATCTTGGATCTAGTTCTAACATTCAGTAATGGGATACCTTTCTACATTACGTCATAACGGCGAGCAAGCAGAAAATTTTATAATTAGGCACGATTAAAACAGAAAAGTGTAGCGGTGATATTGCTTAGGGTAATATTCTAGGCTACTCCAATAGGTCTGACCAGTTACTGGTGGCTCCTCCGCGGCTTAATCGCCACAAAACTTGCTAGAAGGTTCGTCATTGAACCATTCATCGCACGTGAATAGTTCTTGGCTTGGCCGCGAAAGTTGACAATGTCTCCGGCTTTTACAAGTTATGGTATCTGGCATATAGGTTCTCAAAGTACGGATATGACAAATTTCTGACAACCTTTTACAAGTCTCAATGATTTACAGACATAGATAAAGCCTGCATAATGTGGCTACGCATGGTGGGAAAGTGTCATCTTTGGTAATAAGCTTATTGTTAGAGACTGAGAGTAATGTTCAGCCTGCGGTGATAAGTTTTGAACCTAGTAGGATAAGGTTAAAATATTCTACAAGGAATTAGCGCGTGGACTGTTTACAAAGCTGGATCCCACACCAGCCAACTAATAACAAATCAAAAGAATTCTCACCAAAAGAATTCTCACTGCGGATTTGTACCAAACTGTTCCATGTAACTCCGAGGCGATACCCGCGGCGACCAACTCTTTCTCGTACACTCCCCAATTATACCTAAATTAGCAAATTAGTCTCATGTCTTCAAGCCCGGATAGGCTAAACCTGCGCTCCCGAGACCCTAGCCTGAGAAATTTTTCTTGCTTAGTACATATCTACTACTCTATGCTCCATATAAGGTCATGCGACTGGTTCAAGTTGAACGAATGATAACGGTCATATCAATCTGATCAGATAAAAAATATGGGACTAGTGTCAGACCCTACTCAGAATCAACTACGATAACCCTTGCTTATTCCACATCAAGCAACTTGAAAGTTCTTGATGCCAAGAGTCCGAAAGAGCAGGGTGCGGTAGTTCTTTAAAAGGCCGACCGCCGTCTTTTTTTTTTTTTTTTTTTTTTTGAATGCTTCCCATTTCTGCGCTGATACTTTATGTCTCAGTATCATGTCTACAGAGGATAAGATTTCTCCAATTGGCGCGGGTGTCCCTGACGCGGACAATGCAAGTGATGTCCTCAAGCCTGCAGCCAATGCTGGCGATTTTGTCCAGTCTAGAGGCGTCACGCGCATGGAAGCCGTGTATCGAGAAACGAAATCCAATCTAAAATTATTCTGGCTTGTGGGTGGTTCAGTCCTAGTCTGTGCCTGGGCTTATTCACTCGACTCCTCTACAACGTCATATTACAGTGTTGATGCTTCATCTTATTTCAAACAGCACAGCTCTGTCTTGGCAACCCTTTCAATTGCTACCAGCATCATAAGTGCTGTCTCTAAGCCTTTTATCGCAAAAATTTCCGATATCACGTCTCGCCCATACACATATCTTCTCATACTTGGGTTTTATATCATTGGCTACATAATTGCCGCCACATCCAAAACAATTTCGGCTTATGTCGTTGGAGAAGTGTTTGTTGCAATTGGTGGTTCCGGCATCGACCTCACCAATGATATCATCGTTGCTGATCTCACGCCGCTGGAGTGGCGTGGCTTCGCCAGCTCTATGCTCTCCACCCCCTTTATCATCAATACCTGGTTTTCAGGCAAGATAGTCGATGCGTTAGAGAAGCGTAACCAGTGGCGCTGGGGATATGGCATGTTCGCCATAATTATGCCAGTTGCCCTAGGTCCTGCCGTCGCAGCGCTGATTTGGTTGGATAAGATGGCTAAGAAGAAGGGCGTGGTCAATATCGCGTCAAGTAATGCCGCACGGCGTACTCTTGATAACACGGCGGATCAAGAGGGTCAGGAGAAACCTATCAACCCCACTACCACGCCTGCGGTTGACAATAAGCAACAATGGACTCGGTCATTGAAGATGAATCTGGAAGAGATTGATGCATTTGGTCTAATTCTGCTTGGATTTGGGTGGTCACTGCTTCTGCTGCCCTTTTCTCTCAAAACCTATGCTGAACATGGGTGGCGCAACCAATCTCTCATCGCCATGATGATTGTAGGCGGCCTTTTATTGTTTGCATATATAGTTTTTGAGATGAAGTTCGCTCGTGTCCCTAGTGCTCCCCGTCGCCTTGTTTTCAACAAAACATTTGTGATGGCGATCATTATCGACTCTTTTTACATGTGTGAGTACCGCTTTCTTAGGCTGCTATTTACTTGGTATCATTACTGACTCTCTATCTTCAGTGGCCGGAAATATTCGGAGTCTCTACTGGAGCTCATACGTCTATGTTGCAAAACCTTGGAGCTATCAAGATTGGGTCTACTACGGCAATACTCTAACATTGGCATTGTGTATTACAGGCCCGTTTGTTGGCCTAGCTCAGCGCTGGACCCATCGATACAAATTCATTCAGATTGTGGGGCTTGGCATCAAGATCATCGGCATCGGTATCATGTTGGATGGGCGTGTTGCGGCCATCAGCACCGGCGCACTTGTCATGTCGAGCATTCTTGTTGGCATTGGTGGCTCGATGTCCGTTGTTGGATCCCGAGTAGCCTCGCAAGCTTCCGTACCTCACCAAGATGTTGCCCTTGCGGTATCGTTACTTTCTTTATGGTCAAAGATTGGCAGTGCCATTGGCTCTGCCATCGTCGCCGTCATTTGGTCCAATCAGATGCCAAAGCAGCTGCGAAAATATTTGCCGGCCGGCACCCCAGAAGCAACTGTGAAAAAGCTATTCGGCGATATGCGGTCTCTGCGCACTGCTTATGATTTTGACGATCCCATCCGCCAAGGCGCTATTACAGCTTATCGCCATTCCCTGTACTACTGCATTACCGTGGCACTAGCACTGGCTTTCGTCCCTCTTGTCGCAGCTTTCTTTCAGACCAACTACTTTCTTGGAAAACAACAAAACGCTGTAACCGATGTGGGAAATGATGGTCTGCCATTAAGCGAGAAAGATCGTAACCCAGACCCTTTACCACCCCCAAAGAATAAGAAGGAAGCGTTTCTCCGTTTTTGGGCGGGCAGCACTTGATCTTCGCACAAGGGCGACACTATAGGGCCAGCTGGAAATATTAGGTCGGGTGACAGATTCACTTACGCAGTCTTCTCCCCGGAGTGATTGACTCGCGCAATAGGCGAATGATGAGAAAATAATAATGCTTACCCAAAAAAGTACCAACGATATGTATGCTAGACGAAAATTAATTGGTACTTGGCCAAAGGCAAGCGCTGAAGAGCAAGCGTGCAATTCCGTCTAGACACCTGGATTAAGACATGATGAACTATGATCTCATATATATCTCGCATATATGTGCTCCATGGTAGTATGCTCTTGAAATGTATATCTCTTGCTCACGACGGCGACTTTCTAACTTGGAGCGTGTGCCATTTGTCCTCTGGCTGGGAACTGTAAAGAAGCTTCTTTATAGCGTACAATGCTGCTGACCACATTAGTGTATATTGTCAAGTTCGAAGCGCACAGAGCCTATGTAGACATAAACTACTCACCTATCAACATCTTATTATGTGGTTGTCAAACAAATAATAAGAGCGCTGTTGAAGTATACAGGGAAGCTTGGTAGTCTAACAGCTCGTACGCGACACTCCATTTCTTAGTATAACCCGTTTGAACGGTTTCTATCACTCAACAACTGACATATTGATAAGAAGGTCATTCGTTTAGAACGGTTAGGTATTAGAGGGTAAATTATGCTCCAGATAGTGATAAATCCAATACTTTTGAAAGCACCCATCCATTTTGGCCATATCTATTCACTGATGCTCTCAAGCATTATGGCGTATGTAACCCCTCTGAACATACTTCTTCAAAGTACGCGCTTGTTATATTATTATATCGCCGCTTCTTGTGGTTCGATTGTATCAAAGTAGATGCTTTAAATTATCATTATAAATTCAGTCTTTCACTCCATCTTCTTCGAAACAGGTCATAAAAACACTGATTAATTTATATGGATTGTTGTATGAACGGGGTATGTGATGTGTCACAACAATCGGCCAGTTTCTTTATTTTAATGTATTTTTGTATATTATCCATCTTAACAATATAATAACCACCGTAATTGCCCAATGTGACCAACCCCTTTCCGTGTTCAACCCAAGCTAATCTCTAATTTGCATAGTTGTTAGATGCACCAGAGTTATTAAGAAGCATGTGTGAAAATATTCAGTGGTATGCTAGCTGAAATAGCGTAATTAGGCACGTTGACTACTTCTGAAACTCTGAGGCTGATGGAAATGCTAGCAAGCATATATGCTTCCACACGGCTTAAACTCTTTGTTTGCATCATGTATTCGATAATACCGCGAACGGCCTTGCGAGCAGCTTCCATAAGATCTGTATCAATGCCAAGAACAGCATAATATCCTCGGTCTTCAGCTAACGTGAGAGTAGATGAGAGAGAAGAATAGTTGGGAGAGCTGACCCATTTCATGTCCTTCCTAACTGTGAGTCGCAACTTCACCTGCATGGGAGTCTCAATAGCAGTTCCACAGACTTCTCCGTCGCCCTGAGCTGCATGGCCATCACCACAACTGAATAATGCACCAGGTGCCTTCACGGGCAGGAAGAGCTTCGTTCCAGCTATAATGTGGCGGGTATCGATATTGCCTCCTGTATCGAGCGGTGGAATAGTGGGAAATTCTCCCTCGCCCGGAGCTACCCCCATGACACCAAGAAAGGGATGAGTAGGAATGCGAATGCCTTCCTTAAATGTCGCAGAGGAATCATTGGGATCAAGCTTCCAGATCTTCAACTGCGGCTCCGGGAAATCATCCGTGAGGAGCCCAAAACCAGGTATAATTGCTGTCCAGCCCCAATCTGCAGTTTTCAGCTCCAGAACCTCAATTTCAAGAGTGTCTCCTGGCTCGGCACCACGCACATACACGGGTCCAAAGAGGGGGTCTGCCAGTTCGGCCTTGAACTTTAGAATATCCTCCACGGTCGAGCTTGGCGTAATTTGTTCGTTGCTTCCATCGATGGTGTCGAAGGTTACAACATCATTTGAGTCGACGGTTAATACGGGAGCGATGGCCTTGGACCACTTGAGATGGCTTTGCCCACTGTGAACGTGGAAGGTGGAGGTAATCTGAGGAGGCAACATTGTCCGATATTATGACCAGCAGGCATAATACGAATGAGGATGGTAGAATCTAGTTATCTTCGTACGAGAGATACGCTGTATGAATGAATTACGGGAAGTGTCCTGACTCGCGAGATCGTTGCCCTTGAGCTGTAGAAGTTCGGGGAAGAGAGTCAAGAAAAATGAGGAGATTTATACATAATCCACCTGTGCGGAGAATTTCAAATGATTCCAAAATCTCACAGCCAATAGTCTGCAATCATGGTGGAGATTGTCCAATAGCTCACGCTAGACACCACTTCGACGAGATTATGGATGTCTTTCTAACTCGTGGAGAAATATTACCATGAACTACTAATAAAACTCCAAATCCAGATTCACGATTTGCCAAGGCAAGGCAAATAGGAAAAAAGCCAAGAATAACTGGAAGTTGCCGTTCAGCCAGTCGCGTCCAATATGATTCAATGCTAATGAAGTAGGAGTACCTCAATCCATGAAATGAAACGACGTGATAATCACCCCTGACCCCTCTAGTTACAGGTCTTAGTGCCACCAAATGTGGACAGCCTCACAGCGTGTGAAGTGATATACGCTATATCAGCTAAGATAAGTGCCCATTTGAGAATTCCATTATAACTCACAAGGGCCTTTCGATGCAGTCATATTTTATACAAATAATTTTCCGAGATCCTTGCAGGGTTCGCAATTCTTGGCGATGATCATGCATATGGAGCTCTATTGGCAGGATGACCACCATTGGCTTGACTCGACACATTTAAATGGGGGAATGCATTGTGTTGGGCCTGTGTAACCCTCGCCGCCACACTGTGGAACGAATCAGTTTGCATACGAAAGCTGGAAGACATTTTCAACCAGATTTTCATGATTGTACTTACCTGGCCCCATTGGGGAACCGTCCCCGTCGGACCTGATCCTGTTGCTGACGAGGTGCTAGTGGCAGACTTGGTGGGCTTTGCGGTAGTTGTCGGGAGGCTGGAGCTGACGGGCTGGGAGCCACCACAAGGGGAACCGGTTAGGAGGATGTTCTTCGCCTCTTGGGCGTAAGTGCATCCATTGATCACGTTGGCATCGGAGTAACCAGCATCCCACATCATTATTCCGCCAAATGCCGGGCTAGATCTAGTGTTTTGGACAATAGTGGCAAGCTGAGCGGGCGTGGCGTAGTAAACCGCACCACCAGCGTTACCAGTGGCAGCGAGGGTATTAGCGGGTACTCCGATGAATAATTTCTTGGCCAGATTGTCAGTAGCCTGGTAAAAAACACGAATCGGTGAGTTGGAGCGAACATACGGCGTTTTTTGAGGGCGTGGTGGCAATAAAAGACGTCCAGTTATTGAAGTTAAAAGGCGCATCGCCTGGCAACCCGAGAGAACAAGGGTCCGGACCGTAGCCGTTGTTGTTGTAAAATTGAATCCAAAGATAGTCAAACACCGAGCTACTAATAATTTCTCCCATATTGGGTTCCCTTGCAATACTTTGTTAGTAACATATCCGGCAATGTAGAAATTGGGGTGGGTGGGAAAACTCAACGGGATCGGGCATTGCGGAGCGCCGGTAATGTAATACGCATTCGTGGGGTCGCTGAGGAAGTTAGACCGGAGAGTTGAGATCAAATATTGATAGTATTGGCTCCCGGCATTCAACTCAAGGTCAAAGTCAAATCCATTCACGAATACATTTCCAAAGGGCCGTTGTACGGAAGTACTGCCTGAGTTGCCATAAGCTTCCCAGAGATACTGACCGATAGCGACAGCCTGGGACTGAGATTGTAAAGAGTAAGAGCCGGCGGCGCCTCCAAGCGATAAGATGATCTTAATGCCAGCCGCTTGACAAGTAGCTATTGAGGCAGCCAGGTCATCGCATTGCTGGGGCACTCCCGTCGCGCCGATATAGCAGGAATTTCCAATGTTGCCATAAGGGATGTTTCCGGTGGTACCATATATATCCAAGAAAGAGAGCACAAGGATATCAATACCCGCATTAGGCTTGCAGTACGTAGATAGGTTATCATTCTCGTTATTCGTGCCTCCCCAATAAACAACATTTTGAGCACCGGAAGCCTGGCGGGCTTTAATGGTCTGCGGATAAGAGGGAGCAGCAACGCCAAAGCCCACGAGGCTTAAACCAAGAATGAGCGAAGTTAGGAGCATCGTTGCTTATGTTGGAAACAGGACAGAAGGTTCATAAGTATGTCATACAAGAATATATACACGGAAGAATGCCTATCAGATGGACAGTAAGAAAAAGTTCAAAGAAGTATCGTGATGTGCAACTTGTTAGCATGTTTGGTAGCGTATAGTCAAAGATATATATATCCGTGGTATGGTGTTTTGTGATATTTGCTAGATATGTATTTCATTTGAAGCCTTTCCAGAAGCTACAGGAATTCTTTGTTTTAGTATTCAATACATCTCGCTGCGCGACATCTGTGCTTTGCCCTCAACCCCAAATGAAAAGAGACGTTACATGAGGCAAGTTAATTTTTCGCCTTGTGACTGTGAATATATTATATTAAGTTCGGCTGACCCACCCAACAACCATTGTCTACCTATGCTCGACAATTTGTGAATATGATTCGGCCATATCGACGTTTGCCGCTCGAAGAACTGGCAGGTGACATTTCCGGAGAAACCGTAGTCCGGTGGCATCAGTACGAGCAGTTTATCGATCGCAAACTAGGTTGCAACAACAGCTCTATGTGGATCTCGTAGTCTCCAGGTTGGCATAATAATGTATTGATTTATTGATAGGTGTTACCCAGGTAGGAAGCTTAAGACAATTATACAGCAATGTCTATATTATTTTATATCTTAGTCCGGGTGCAGGTTTTCTGTTTTAGGCAGCTGTTTTTGTGCTACGGCATCATGACTCCGGATAGCTGCCTCAAAATCCATTAGCTCCATTCAAAACCCCGCCTACTATCCCATCAGGAAGGAGAGAGCTACGAGACGCGCCAAACATTCATGGCCGGATAGGATAAATTGGCGTTTGTGCTCAGCGATCAACCCTCCTCTTAAGATACAACGTTCCAGTTTTAGCTCGGCCCGCACTGGTACAGTCGTAGCAGGAATGTTTCTTTAGTGGAATTATGTAACAGCTTGTGCTCTTTTGCCTGCCTGTGTAAGTTCTTTATTTAATTGGACGAAACGGAACGAAACCGTACACAATACAATGTGTGTTTCACTCAACCTACAGGGCAAATTGTTTTACATTGTAGAGGAGATTAGTCTACCTAATTGTTAAGAAAATTCCTTGATACTGGCACTCATCGTACCGAGAGACAATAGGTAATATTCCATCACATCGCAACACAAGCGATAAAGGCTTTGTATTACCTACCAATGATATGATAAACATGGTCTAGTTATTTTTCCGTATATAAACGACATGACGAGATTGAACTTACCATAATCTATATCGCAGAGACAACATACGGACGAATGCAAAGTATAGATGATTTATACATAACGTTATAATTGGCTACGACGCTATCCAATGGGCAGAGTCACTGGAGAAGTGCTGTGCTATGAGAGAACAAGATATAAATATATGACAGTATCTGGGTTATTTTCTTGTATTCTCTTTGTCTTTTTGTAGTATTGCCGTTAATTTATACTGAGACTGTTGTAGCAGTCTTAAACCCCAGTTACTCTCAGCAGCTTCTCAAACTAGTATTGAATCTTTCCTCCATTTAATACTATCGAAATTTTGCAGATATGTTGTCTGCCTTGGAAGTAATCTTAAGCTGAGTTTTGGATATTCGTTAAAGCTCAATATCTATAGAGTTACCCCTCTGCGTATAAATTTATCTATTCTACCTTCATGATCAGACGTTGGACACTTGACAATAACAGCAACTCTACCCTAGTAGAGCCTGAGCAATTCTTCGTGTTTTATAAATATTCGCAATTGACGTTGACATTGCTAACATAATAAAGGTCCCACAGCCAATAACCTAGATACAATCTGTTGACACTATGAATTACGGCGAAGCCCCAAATATGAAGATCATGCCAAGGTTTACGCCGACTAAATGAGGATCATATGGTCCAGGTGATCACATCAGCGGTAGCGAATTTGGTTTCTCAGACTAATTGCCCTTACATTCAAAGAAGTCATATCTTCATCCTATTCAACCTTCGCGACTCTTAGATAGCGAAACCAGGAGCTGCCGTTATTGTAACACTTTGCCAATTACCGCAGCGCAACCACATTGTAGATACTACATCATCGGCTAAGTACTTATTATACATGGTGGCATTATCACCGCAGTACAAAAATACGTTACTGATAGAATCAAGTTTCTAAATATCCACTTAGTATCTAACTAATTCCATGGTGAAAACGTCCACAAAGCCCAAGAAGTATGAATATACTTCCTGGATGTCTGAGAAAAAAGATTGTGTTTCGCACAGTAGGCGGTAAGAGGCAAAACGCTTTGCGTCTTCTTCTTCTTCTTCTCTTTCTCTTTCTCTTTACTTTCTTCTTCTTACATAAGCAATACTGCACCATTTCAGATAGGAATGGTAGAGTTATCACTTCTCGTCCTGATCGCCGAAGATTCGATATATGACACCTACAACGATTTGACGAGCAATCTTCGGTACTCCGCATCTCGGCCCGTACGTGGGCCGGCAATTCCCAGAGCGCTAATACCGCCCCCATAATAAAGGCATGGTCCTGTCTGCTACAGGAGAGGCCATGTCAGCTGTACAGACCCCGGTAGATGCCCGCATGTACACGTAAATTCTAATACAGGGCGCTGCATATGTGCATGGCTCACTCAAATCGTCTCAAAGCATTTTACAAGGGTCGGAGGTAATCGGCATATAGTTTTGGTGCTGTAGCGGTGTAATCTTTTCATCATAAGACTAATTAATCTAGCATTTACCGCATTCTGATGAACTTGCCTCTAATATCTCCTTGAACATGTATAGTTTGTTCACCGATATTCTTCACTTCCTGTTCTCTGCCCCTATTGTCCGAGCTTACCACCAATTTTCTGGCCCCTTGTTAGCCCATGTATCAGCTTGTAAACTCGCTTGAGGATTACGGGAGAAGTTAGGCAGCATTCCGATACCAATCCAAACCCTACAAGAACGCGGGCGGCCTATCTTCTTGTTTTCTGCATTGTTCATTCTTTGTTTTTCTCCTGTCAAAATAAAGGAATTAATTACTAAGTTCACACTTCATCATTAAGAGAAAAGAAGCAGATGCTTGGTTCATTCAACATGGCTACTGAGGAGATTCTTCACCGATGATTACCTGAATTGCAAGGTTCAAGCAACATGGGTTCAACTCTGCATACCTGTTGCGTCGGTGTACTCCGTAGAGTGGCTACGGAGTATGGAGTACGCTGCGATGTTTTGGCCTGAGCTTTGGTACTAATACGCCCCTGGTATAGAGCGGACGGGGGTCGGAGAGTCGGCGCCTATGTTGCTTTCCTGAGATTGTGTAGCTAACACCTCAATAGGCGGTGTTTGTCACATCTTCTCCGCTCCCATTGACTACGTAATCTCTTTAATATTCAACAAAAACAAACTTTTATTTTCCTTCATTTCACTTGAAAGAGATGATGAGTAGATGCGGAAGCGTAATGATTGCTACTCTTTTAAGTATAGATAACATTTGTAATGGGCTTGTTATACAAAGTAATTCTTGAACAAGGGTCACAAACAGTCAAGAACAATACGTTGGGGGGGGGAATAGAAATACTCAAGAGCGGTTATTGGTATGGTGCAATGCTATATTATACGTTAGCTGCTTCCTTCAGCTATAAAAGATCTTTCGGGAATAAAGGAGTACCGCAGAGCATGATTCATCTCACATCATCACTGTCATTCATGAATACTTTGTGAGAACTCTCATCCAATAGATTGTCATATCTCTGCTAAACTTATGACTAACAAATTATCTGAAACTCTCCGACAGTGCGCGATGGCGATCAGTGAGTTAAATGCCGGGGCGAATCTAAATCTTACAGTGGTCTTCATGCAGGCGCCCTAACTGCCGGCCAGGTAGGCCCTGTAATCAGTTTTTACCAGTATTGAGTCATGACCCTGGCACTATCCTTGAATAATGGCAATGATACTCCGTAAAGTATTCTGTATCATTCCGTAATAGTCTCGACACCAAGCCTTGTAAACACGGAACGAGCGACGGAATTTCCCTGGGGTATAAGAAATTCATGCTGCGTTGGGATATCAGTCCACATCAAATGCAAGCAGCCAACTGAAAGTGGATGAGCATCAATGGTTCGACAACGGAAGTGGGAGTAAGATGGCTGGGGGTAATATAGCTCAAAACGCTCCTGGTGCATCCTCACATAGGCTCCATTCTAGCCGACATCATTAAAGGGGTCGCAAAACAATTATTGAGTCCTCCGGCAGTTTGAACGACTCTCTGTGGAGAATGACTTTTAGCTCAAAAGACTCTCATCTCGCTCATCAGTGCAAATACCCCATTGTCTTAAAGCTAATTTACAACTCGAGATAGCAGTGTTTGAATCAATCTTCAGCTGTTAGCAGTGACCTTTCCAATACCGCCATGTTGCCAACGATAGTAGGTGTCACTGGAATGTGGCACCCAGGAAGCTGCTTTGAAGACCTCGCAGTGGCCTTTGCGAAGAGAGGGTATCCATTTGTTAGTCAAGATGCTCCTGGCATTCTGTCCGAAGATCCTATCAACAGCACAGTGGACATGGATGCTGAGTCACTCCGACAAAACATCCTTCTTCCATTGCTTGCCGAAGGCAAAAATGTTATCCTTCTCATGCACTCCTACGGTGGCGTTTATGGCTCAGCCGCTGTGCATGGGTTGAGTCACAAGGAAAGGAAAGCGGCAGGCCAGAAAGGTGGTATAGTTGGCCTCGTGTATGTTACAGCTGTTACACCTGCTGTTGGGAAGTCTTTACTAGACATGATGGGACTCACTCCGGAAAATTTACCACCACATGTTGTGTTGAATGTTGGTTAACACGCTGATCTATTCCTCTCCCCAACCTCATCCGACCATGAAGCTAACTTCTGCCCATTTAATAGGAATCAACAGGACATATAATGTTGATTGAAGCAGACAAATATGTGTATCACGATATGCCTAAAGCCGACGCCGATAAATGGATTGCCAAGGTTAAACCTCAAGCTTTCAACTCCGTCAACACGGCGATTTCATATTCCCCTTTGGCAGACTCAAATTATGAAGGTTCATTTGGATATATATTCTGTGGGAATGACCGTGTTCTCCCATTGGAGGCACAGAAATATTATGCAAACATATCTGGGATTAAGAACACTGTACTAGTTGAAGCGGCATCCCATGCCTTTTTCGTAGGCACTTGTGAGGAAACGGTTGCTGCCACCGTCTCCGTGCTGGAAGCTATTGGCAATGCTACCTAAATTAGCGCATAAGGCTAGATCATTTAAGCAGTAGACTTGAATACACACAGCAGCTAGTTCTCATTGCTGCATGGAATAGACAACTCTGTGTAAACTTCTGAAACTATTTCCCAGCGGTTGAATCCTTCGGAAATCTTCCGCGTATCCGTGCTGACACAACATTAGGGTTTCGCTTGTTGTACGCTAAGTCAATGTGCCAGAGTCCTGGACAGCAACCTGGAAGCATCCTTGTTGATGAATGCCCCTTATCGACTCAGGTCCATCATGATTTGATAGACTGACCCCGTCTATTCAAAAGGTACATATCCAATCCCTTTTAACGCAATGCTATATCTACAACAGATCCGCACATACCGATGTACCCTCTCTAAGTCCCGAGATTTCGTTTCCTGATTTTTATGAATCACTCCAATACATCCTCTACAAAGCTAGTGGAGCCATGTCGACTATGGATGGTACTGCTGAGAGCGCGGCGTTCTTGGCAGAAAATAGACAAGCTGAAGTTTATGCTGTCGCCACTGTGTTCTTCGTGTTAAGTCTTCTGGCTCTTTCTGGACGTCTTGCTGCCGCACGAATCGTTGGAAAGTCTCTGGGGTGGGATGATTGGTTCGCGATAATTGCTACTGTGAGTTAATGCTGGTATCACTATGTGTTTTAACTGGACTAAAATTCCCCGTTAACATATATGCAGATTTGCGGAATCGGTGGCTACGTTACCACCATGCTCTATCTTCGTTTTGGCCTTGGGAGACATGCCATCGTTGTCAGCCAAGAGGACCCAGAAAACCTGTCTCGGTTTCTTCAAACAATTGTCGCAAACGAGATTGTTTACACCTCTGGTCTGGCTTGTGCCAGACTCTCAATTGTGGCACTATATTATCGCATTTTTGGCTCATCAAACATGATATACTTTTTACACGGATTTTCGGCCTTTATTGTGGCTTGGGCAATTGCTACGGTGAGTACATCTTGAAGCTGTACTGACCTTGATTTTTTTTATATTGATGAAGAATAGTATGTCCCGTCTATTCGAACCTGTTGGCCAATAAGTAGTTTCTGGGATGGCACAAATCAAAATTGCATTGATCTTCATGGGTTTTATGTTGGCGTTGCCATCGGCAGCATAATTACAGATTTTGGTCTCATGGTTCTCCCAATGCCATATATCTGGAATCTGAAAGTTCCCATGTTTCAAAAATTTTTACTCGCCTTGACAATGATTTTCGGGGGTTTGTGAGTGAAGCATACCTTGATAGCTCATGTGTATGAAACTTGCCAATACTAATAGTCGTGGGTAGTGCTTGCTTTGTGACAATTTTTCGCCTTGCAATAGTGGTTAACCTGGATCTGTCGGACCTTACTTGGAATACTGTTGATCAGATCATTTGGACCACCTTGGAGTTATTTTGGTAAGATAATGTTCTCTCTTTCATCGCCGTACCATAGTTAATCATCACTCCAGCGCTATTATCTGCGCCTGCCTTCCTACGTTACGCCCCCTAATTAAGCGCGCAAGGGGATTTTTCGGGTTAACTGGTTGGAGTTCAAGAGGAGAGAGCAATTTGGAAGGAGGTAAGAGCGGCAATTCCGGTATAGGGAGGGCATTCCCAGCGCCAAATGAAAATCACTCGGCGGAAGAGATATTGGGGGATTATCGCGACAATGATACAGAGCTCACTAGCTATCAAGTCGGGTATGGTGACCAGTTTGGGAAGAACACTCTCCCCAGACATACTCAAGAGTCTGTCTGAGATCTCCAGCATAGCAAAGTCAGCGACAAAACACATCATTCCGTGAATCTAGAGAAATGGATCGATGCAGCGTTAATTAGCTTCCTCATATTAATTTTAACTCTTTCTTATGGTTCTCAAACTATATGGTGTACTGAATATCATGTTTGGGCATTATAACTTACTTCCACAGCTACACAGGTCGCTAAACTGGAAAAAAATACTACACTCCAAATGAAGGGGTTACAGTAACTCAAGACAGCAGAAGAACAGACTTTGTTCTCTATACGGGCATGATAGATCTATAATCCACCTGCATCTGAAAACACAAATCCTATTTTTTGCATCTCATTTTTACGGTCGCGTAGAGGTCACACAGTTGGTGTACTTGTTGAGCGGATTTGTCATAACATTTGGTAGAGCTCAGAGCCAAACGGCGAGATCGGGAAGATATAAGGGACACCATCTTAGACTTACTCATCTAGGCAGCTTCAATTGAGTGTATGCCCCGAGCAACCCTGATGCTCCTTCCGGGTGACCAACAGATTATGTTATCCGTCCAATTCATTGTACATGGCGCCCAACGTTGGCCACTCTGCAATAGCGCATATTAAAAATTGCTCTATTAGGACAGAGCTCCGCATTTTAGATGTCAAATGGCGCTGGATCTTACACAAAGTGCAACGCCACCGAAGAACTACTTGGGTCTAGAATTCTGAGAACTGACTTGACGCTTGGATTGTAGCAGTATATAATACCCTCTTTGTTCTTGATGCGGACGTAATTTGAGGGCTCAATATTTCTGATGTGTATTTAACAATTCCAACGACAGTAGCGGCTACCTGCTACCCAAATCTTGAGCGACAGAATCATATTGTCTCATCTGAGAATGTCTTCCTCAGTACTTGAAGTCACAAAAGTGACAGCACATTCTTGGAAAATAACAATCAACCACCGTCCATTTAGTTTGCTGGGGCAAAAATCTCTTTCTAGACCTTTAAAATCTCCTACAAACTGTCGAAGGACAACTAGACTTAAATATAATAGCCTTCGAGAGCGCAATCCTAGATTTCTTTATCTCTCATTACGACTTACAACGAGCATCGTCTATCCCGGCTGATCTGTTAGCCAAATGGCCGCTAATGATGCTCAAGCTCGCAACAATACCCATCATCACGGTCGCTGCGATCCGTGGAAGGACACGAGGCATAGGATCCGAATTTGTATTGGCCTGTGACATTCGGTTTGGCAGCGCAGACAAAGCTATTTTGTCTCAAGCTGAAGTTAGCTTCGGACTCTTCCCTGGAGGTGGAGCCGTAGAATGGCTTCCAACATGTGTCGCGCGGTCGAATGCTCGAGATAATTTGTGGCAGTGATGAATTTGATGCCACAACCGCCGCGCAATACGGTTGAATCAATCGCGCTCTCCCAAACTTAGTTTTGTGGATATATTCGCGCGTCGTGTAGCGGGGTGGCATAAACAAGCACTATAATTAGCAAAACATTTAACAAACGAGCGATTTGGGCTCCCCAAGGAGGAGGAATTTTCGAGACTTACCAGGCGATGGCGCAGCTTTGGGCGGCTGTTGACGTGCAAAGAAGGATGGAGATTCTAATTGATAAAGGCCTTGAAAAAGACAAGGACATGGAACTGACTGTCGCAGAGTTTACTGCTAAATTTCCGATGCATTAGCTTGATTGTTTAATTATACTCGCAAGATGGCCATACATTATTCAAGGTTTCGTACTATTCCGATATACTGTTTCCGAGTAACAACAGATTGGCCTTTGGTTTTAATACGCAAATCTATTTCCTTACCCAGCGTCCACTTACATAAAGGCCCCTTATAAGAGCGAGCTCTAAATAAAGGCAATTAAGTTGGCTAAATTTCTTACGTAGCTGAGATCCGTAATGAAAGAGATAATGAAGCTCTACCCTTTTATGAAAGCTTACTATTATACATGCTCTTCTATGAATATATTAGCTTCTTTTTTACCTCTATATTTAGCTAACTTCCTGCTACTATGCGGTATTACAGATTGAGCCAGAGTTAACTATGAGATATAGGACTTATAACGAGAATCTTCGACACAGGGAGCAATCCAAAGCATATTTGCGTTATATTGCGATTAGTTGGGATTAATGGAACTTAAAAATGTCCATTATTAACGGCGTATGTGAGACTTAGCACGTGTTAGAGGCCCGTTTAATAAGTTAATACGATGTGATATTAAAATACTTCTGAACTTCTCAAATAGTAGGTGCTATATTTGATGATTATACTGGAATCAGGTGCTTTATGAAAAGTTTGTGATTCATTTCTAAATAGCAGACGTCTCTCGTATTGTTCCCTCTGGAATGGTAAACGCAATCGCCCAGATGACGGTAGCCGTCATGTGACGATACTTCTTGACCAAACTTGATGTGCCTCCGTGATTAGTGATAATGATCTCAAATGTCGGTGACCCATTTTCCACGTCGTCTACAACATCTTCTAATCACTTTGTAAGTTCTGCGTCACTTAGTCTAAGTATCAGGCACCATGCCACTACCGCTCATCTATAGACTTTCACCTGAGATTTTGGACCTGATATTCAGTCAATTTTGTCTTCACTGCCGAGCCAAATGTCATAATACAGCTTCAGCGGACGGTTACATTAGCGGGACTGAGCAGGGCGACGACTCTCCTTCTTGGTACTCTCTGGACCGCCACGCACTCTTCTCACTATGTCTAGTCTCTCGGCGGGTTTCTAGTATTGCCACATCTATCCTTTACCATGAATTTACTCCTCAATATGGAGGCTCCAAGACATCAACAGCATACCGATGGGATAAGCGACTCACATCATTGATGCGGACTGTAGCAAAGCGCCCCGACCTAGGCAGACTTGCCAACCGAGTTTACATACACCATTTCCTCACAAAGGATATGATCTTGACGATGCCATGTATGCCCTTGATGAAGCAGCGCGCTGAATGGGCCACCATCTACCACATGCATGAATGCTACGAATACAGCGCAGCTTTGGCGAAAATCCAATGTGGCTCTCATTCCTTTCATCCCACTTAGACACAGAGAAAGTTCTGAAAGAGCCTGAACTGCGGGGTAACCTAAAATTGAGGGAAGAATTGACGGTGGCTAGCTGCTGTATTGGTGTCGATGGTCATTTCTCAGCTGCCGAATCTGGATCATCTTAGTCTCTGTGTGTTGCCATATGGCCCTGGAGACTGTGCTCCACCATCGGCTCTGGAAGTTCTCGGTATTTCTAGTTTGCACCTCAAGACTGTCGATATCTCCCTTGATGCTAGCGATGTCGATATGGGGTTCGACTTAGAAATCCGGTTGCGCGGTCTACTTCGTTGGTCGCAGCAATTAACGGCAATCAATCTCCATAAATGCTCGGGGACATTCAGTCGGGCGTCAATTATCTCCCTGCCACGATTAGCAAATATTCGGATGACCGAAAGCAGAATTGGTGAGGGCGGTTTAGAATCACTGCTAGCTTCGAGCCAAGATCTTCGTACATTTTCCTACGAGGCAGCCTATTCTAACAACTAGAACGGAGGTCTGAATGGACGTTACCATTTTCAATCCTTTCATGCGATTGATGCTCCAGCCAGGCATCAAGAAACGCTGGAAATCCTGCACTTGAATCTCCGAGGGTGGGACTCATTACTCGCAACTCGTGGTCCACATATCCCGCCATTTCCGAGTCTGAAGCATTTTATGTCACTTCAGCGGTTGTTTTTAAGGGTCGACGCAATATTTCCTAACCATCTGGAATTATCTAGTGACCACCAATTGCTAATTAATATTCTACCGAGAACGATAGCATCGTTACGTATTGGTGGTTATTACGGTGAAACTTTTCCACGTTTAGAAAATGCTTTACTTGGTCTTGCGGATGCGGTAATGTTTCAAAAACACCACGAAGAGCGACCGTTTCCCCACTTAAGGAAGATCCGGTGTGACTTTACACCAACGATGGATGAACCGGGGATAAGCAAAGTGTTCGGCTTTGCTGGCATACGCTTTCTATATGGCGATTCCGGTTCATGAAAGCCTCACATTGCAATTGAGAAGCCCCCATTTGTATTGTATGAGTCAATTGTAATTATTAGTAATGAGCATATCGTGAGAACTATCGTTTCCCCTACAGAAATGCTATGTTTAAGAGGATAATAATATTGTGTTCTTATAGGAGGTACCGGTCATAGTAATACCCATATTTGTCCATGTGCGAAGCATTAAGGTATCGCGAACAACCTTGGTATTGGTGCTCCTACCGCCAATTTAAGCTGTATATACAACCCTCGCCATTTATATCATCGTTGTCTATGCCTAGGAACTATCAGATTCCTTGTCGAAACCCCAATGTAATTTGGGGAAGAGAACGTTTTGCGGCCAGCTGATGGCTCCTGGGGCAAATGGAGCTCCACCAATTTTTAAGGCTAACATTTAATGCTTACCCTCACTACGAATAAAACAATCTCCAGATGTCCTCGGAGAACTGCTATTCGAAAGAGTATGACGAGGAGATTCTAACTTATGACTTGGTTTGTTGAAATGATTGGACTAAGATTTGCCGGATTTGGGGAAACCGTTCACTGGATATAGGTAAGGGAATGGTTGATCACAGTGAGTGTTAGTTCTCGTAAGAAGAATTTTTTTTTTAAATAAATATAAAATGTTATAAAGAAAAAGAAAAAGAGAAGAAGAAATACGCCCTGGTATTGAGAAGGTATCATGGGATACATAATTATCGCAGTGTAGTTTCTTGAAACATGAAGCTGAATGCTCGATTGGATGCCTATTCGCTGTAAGCAGATTTGGAGCACCACACAAATATCCACTAGACTACTCCGTAGGAGAGAGCTAGACGCTATGATACGGAGGTGGTGAGACTCGTAGAAAGTTTGAACTAAAACGGACATTGGTGAATAAGTGGTAGGGCAATGGCCTGTTTTCTGCATACAAGTCGTACCATAGTAGGACAACATTTAATGCTGTAGGCGCGGCATATGCGCATCTCCGCGGTAGGATGGTCGGTCCCCTGTGGAAGGGTATAGTAACTGAGTGAGCTTCATTACCCGTCAAATAGCCTACTGGTATGCACCGGCGTCGCGATTAAATTGAACTAGACAAACCAATGGTCTCCGCGGAGAACAGATCGCAAGTATTCTCAATGGAAATTAACAGAGCCCTCGTGATATGGGGAGGAAGGCATCAAAATAGACCGCGTTGTAGTGTCTGAAGTATAAAAGTGTGCAAGATAATGCGCACGTTCATAAGAACCAGAACATTACAATTTTCTCCAATTCGTCTTGTCTAGTTTATCCAAAGCATGACACTTCCCCAAACAAGATTATTTTCTCCCCAAGCTCTACTCCGGAATACCCAAACCCAGCAGTTTATTCGAACGATTGCTTCAATGGCTACTGATGCACCTAACTTCCCATTTCGGCGAGCTTCTGGCATGGAGCCACCAGCAGAATTTGCACAGTTAAGAGCTACTAATCCGGTATCGAGAGTTAAGCTTTTTGATGGGAGCTTGGCTTGGCTGGTCACTAAATACAAGGACGTAATTACTGTTGCAACCGATGAAAGGCTCTCCAAAGTAAGAAAGGATCTTGAAAAGATTACAAGTATCATTCCAAGATTATTGACAACCAGTAAATCTCTAGGTCCGGACTCGCCCTGGTTTCCCTGAGTTGGGTGCTGGTGGCAAGCAGGCGGCCAAAGCAAAACCAACATTCGTTGATATGGACCCTCCAGACCATATGCATCAAAGGCAAGTGTCTCAAGAGTCCGTAATTCGATAGATATTAACACCAGATCCTCTACAGGAGCATGGTTGAGTCGATATTTTCTGCTGATCATATCAAGGAGATGCAGCCATATATTCAGAAGACGGTGGATGATCTCCTTGGTGCCTTGAAAGCCAAGGGATGTGCAGATGCCCCCGTTGACTTGATTAAAGAGTTTGCATTACCGGTTCCATCATATGTGAGTCAAGCCCATCTCGTCAGTGTCAAAGGGTTCATCCATCGTTGACTGTCTATAAGATCATCTATACAATCCTTGGTGTGCCCTTCCATGATCTCGAATATCTTACGCAGCAGAATGCTATACGGACCAATGGAAGCTCTACTGCACGCGAGGCATCGGCCGCAAATCAGTGTGTTGCCTCTCTTTCTTTCCCTTTCTAGTCAACAGGCATGGGGCGGCTACATCATGACTGACAATGACAAAACTAGAGGGTTACTCGACTATCTTACCAAATTAGTGGATCAAAGGACCCAAGAGCCCAAGGACGATCTCATTAGTAAACTAGTTGTTGATCAAGTAAGGCTTGGGAATATTGGAAAAGCAGATGCCGTGCAAATAGCCTTTTTGCTGCTCGTCGCAGGAAATGCTACTATGGTCAACATGATTGCCTTGGTAAAGGCTACCTCACATCTCTCCAGCACGTTTTAATTAAGCCTAGTGATATATGGCTAATCAAGTTCATAGGGAGTTACGACTTTGTTTCAGCACCCTGATCAGCTTGCACAACTAAAAGCCGATCCTTCACTCGCTCCTGCATTTGTGGAAGAGCTATGCCGATATCACACAGCTTCAGCACTGGCAATCAAAAGAACGGCTAAAGTTGATATTGAGATTGGCGGCAAGGTATTTTACTTGCGAATCAAAGGTGTGGATGCTCATTAATGCTGACATTTGATATGTAAACTAGCTTATCAAGGCTAATGAGGGCATCATTGCTTCCAATCAATCCGCGAACCGTGACGCCGACATTTTCGCAAATCCAGACGAATTCAATATGAATCGCAAATGGCCTAATGAAGATGCTCTTGGATTTGGATATGGAGACCATCGTTGCATTGCCGAGACTCTTGCAAAAATCGAGTTGGCAACCGTCTTCTGTAAGTGTAAAACCACACGGTCATATGGAAGTTGTATACTTATTAATGTCTATAGCCACACTTTTTAAAGAATTGCCTAATCTCGAGCTTGCAGTGCCTATTAACAAAATCAACTTTACACCATTACACAAAGATGTTGGAATTGAAGATTTGCCGGTAGTTTTCTAAGGTGGAAGCCACTAGCGCTCAGCGTTATTTGGACCAAAGCAGCAACTCAAAGCAGTTGTACACTCCACTTAATCATAGTTGCCACCCTCAGACGGACAACAATTGAAATGTTAATCACACCTCTGTGGAATTACATTATGTATACCCGAACGAATGCCTTCCTCCTTTTGTGTCCGTATTTGGAGGATATTTGTTTGCTCTATTACGATACTTGCTATTTTAGTACTCCAACTCTCCGTTTCTTGCTATTTATCGCCATTCGTAGCTGAAACATCATGGTTAGTATTGAAATCGTCGAAGAATCACACGCTGGCATATGGTGTTCATTGATCATTATCCGTCTCCCCGCAGAGTATAGGCAGATGATAATGCCGTAGATACCCCTAGGTAGTGATACTACGATGTGAGCTAGTCCTACTAATGTCAAGAGTACTTTTTACGATGATTAAAATGTGATGTATGTCTGTTAGTTCATACAGTGAACAAATCGCTATGGCATTTAATAATGCATTATAAGTTTCTTCTTCCATGGGATTCACTATAATATCAAAAGGCCAGCAACTATAAGTATGTGACAAAGGGCTACTAAACTACGCACTTGACCATTATTGCCGCCCATGCTACAAGTACCTATACAGGTTGAGTCGTATATCAGTAATATCCAAACATAAATATGCATCTTTCTAATCCTTGTGGCTAAAAGTAGTCTCAAATGCCCAGAATCAGTCAAACACCCAGAATCTTTAGCTGGGATTCAAGAGTGGAACGCCAGCTGGGCACCCTTTCTTCCTTTTGACCCCGTGGGCGCACCTCCACGATTGCACGCAAGTAGTTAATAGCTTCCTGCATAGCCCCCTGCATTACCGAGTTTGGTTTCGTCTCATCTATCAGCGACTTCAATCCCCGTGCGGCGCAACATTCTGTAAACAAGGTCTTGAGACGATCTCTCTCTGCCATAGCTCCCTCAGAGTACTGACCATTCCAAAGAAATGCCCCGACAGGATTCCAGCGGGGTGCAGGCACGATGCTGGAGAATTCCCAGTCCAAAATTCCAGTTATCAGGCCACTCGACTCATCGCACATGATGTTTGCAAAATGCAAGTCTTTGTGTGCGAGGAAATATCTGGTCTTATTGAGCTCCGGGAACTCAGACAGGATGTTTACAAAGAGATCAAGGCGCGGTAGTATATCTCTCATATCTGCCAATGATGGATGAAGGCGAATTGCATGTTGATAAACACGCACCATCGCGGCTATGTAATCGGTGTAGCAATTGTAAGGACCGCTAATATTGAGGGATTGGACTGACTCTGACTCAGGCCAGTATTTGACCACATCAGGCTGCTGCCAGAACGTCTCCTCTATTATAGGTCCCGGGACAACGTTTCCGTCATGGTCAAATTGAAGGCCGGACACACCATCCCAAGAGACTGCATGCATTTGCTGTACGATGTCTACCATCTGATTGATGATACTGTCAAGCAGCTGTGGTGGGAGTCGATCATAAATCTCGCTGACTGTGACGCCAGGGAGTCGCTGCAGAAGAGTGAATTCGTGGCCCAGTGGATTATTGGTGCTGGCATCATAACGTATGACTTTGGCTACAGGCAACCGAGTGTTTTGTTGCAGCCAAGTCATCGCGGCGACTTCGTTGATGGTTTTGATGCGGGGTAGGTGAGGGCCAGAGATGCGCAGGATAAGCTCAACGCAATCCTTGTTGGACCGTGAAAGCGTCGGAAAAGCGGCATCGGCCACTTCGGGCGCAAATGAAATGACATAAATCGAATGATACTCTGCTGTAGTAGACAAAGTAGATACCGACTGTGGCGGCGGTAGGTCGAGAAATGCGAAGAGAGCCCGTATGGTGTCCTCCGAAATGGGAGGAAGGTGATCTTTAGGAGAGCCCATCGCTGAACCAACGCGACGAACACTTTTTCAGTTTTGCACAACCCAATGATCACGAGATGAAAATAGAAGGATGTGAAACAGGGATGAGTTGCTCAGGTTGCTAATGTACTAGCAAAAGACCAGCCAAGTCCATCTAGGTTCTATGACTTCTCCTCTCTTTAAAGTACCTGAGAGTGTATCTCCCCGCTTTTTGAACTAGGTAGATCCTATGCCAACCAACGCGTTTATTATCACTGCACATGATAGTGTCATCTCTTTTGGGTCGCTCCCCCGTATCTTATCTTCTTACATCTTCGCTAATTCCATTTAATACTTGAGATTTTTTTCTTTAATTTTTTTTTAAACAAAGCGAGTCGTGGGTGGTTTGTGTCTTGAATATGTAGCCTCGCCGTCCTGGCTTCAACTAGCTCTGCTCGCGGCAAATTTGATTGGGCGAAAGATTTCGTGTATCATGACTGCTTTGATAGCTTCAAATGCGCCCGTCTAGTCGCCCCAATGGATCATACGAATAATAAAATAATAGCGACTTGCAAATTGTCGTCATTGCCATGACCGAGTTACCAGCCGTCGTATTAGACAATAATCCGGCATTCGCAGGCTCCGTCTTCACTAAGCCAGGCGGGCTTGGAGGAGCAGGCGTTGGTTGGCTTTATGCTAAGGACCGGGAAAGGTTTACGGGATGTCGTCGACAAGCCCGGCCGTCGCTACCACGAAATCGCGTCGTTTGACCCTCGTGGCGTTGACAATAGTTGGCCTCGCGCTCATTGCTTCGTACATGACACCCTGGGCGGCTGTGGAGGTGCCAATGTGCCCTATATCATTGCGATCCAAAAGGCTATCGGTCTGGGTACGCCTAGTGTTGCCCGCGACATGGTCCACAATCAGTCATATCGGCGATGTAATTATTATTAGGAGCCGGGATATTCGCGAGATGCTAGGCGCAGCGCTCTACAGGCCTCGCACTTTCTTCATAACCCCTTGCAACAGCAATCGACGATGTGATGGGTGGAGATACTGCCGCCATTGTAAAGATCCTGTTTTAACGCCACATTTCTCCTAGATGAAGTTTGTGCTATCAATACTACTGATCCAGACTTAGAAACTTGCCTCCAAAAAGATACTGCTGAAGTGCTCTGCGCTGATGGGGATAGTGTAGCAGACTATGATATTACACGGTAGAAGCGGTATATTAATCAACAGATTAGCACATTATCTATCTTTGGTGCCTACTGGTCTAGCATCCGAATAGCGTGCAACTCCTGGAATATCCGGCCTAATTGAACTTTTAAAGGTCCATTCACCACTCCTCCAGTAACAAATACATTCTGCCGCCGGGAATCTTGGCGGCCCCCATCCTGTTCCTATCAACACGCTTCGATCTCGTGTTCCCCTAAATGCCGCGCGTGCTATGGCTGCCCAACACCCTGGAGCGGGCCTCATCATCATAGAGGGGTTTGGGAACGGTGCTATGGGCGCCGGTGGTGGTTTATGTCTGCACGGTTACGTTGCCTATGATTTTGACCTTGACGTTGCGCCGACCGGTGGGGCTACGTGTATACTATCTTGCCGTCCTTGGGACATAGACAGTGATACTTTTGGGGTCAAATTTGTTCCTCAGGATAGCCGTGGCTACGATAGACACAAGATTTAGCATTTTAAATTTCACACACATGTATATACTCGGTAAGCGGAGGCGGTGGCCTCACTTCTGTATCCTTTGTGTAAAACGACTCAAATTTGAAGAGGCTAAACCTCGAATAATCCACACATTAGCAACAACTCTTTGGTAAACCGGGCTCTTCATGTATTAAAGTCTTCCTCGCCTTCTCCATGGAGCGTGCATATTTCGCGGTCCTTTGAAGACACGAGGAGAGACCCAACTCCGGTCGCTGGTGTTATTTGTTATAAGATTGATCAGGTATTCCTTCACCTGCGTTGGCATCCCAGCCATTCCAGCAGAGTCGATCCATTGTGTAAAATCGACCTTGGGAAAACTCCCACCGTGCTGCCTCTCTAAATAGAATCCAAGTTGATCCAACCGCACCCAGTCGCTCTCTGCGCCGCAATGGTTTCGATATTGCACGTGCGTTTTTGGGGGGTTTTCTCTCATCAGCACGTCGGCTGTGATGCCTTGTGACACTTCGTCGATCCCCACAAACTGTAGCCATCTATCTACAGATGGCATTCGAGGCACACTCCTCAATTTTTCTGCAAAGTTCAGAATGTTGTGCATTACATCGAATTGGGGCGCATCAGGTCCAACGACATAGCTCGGCCTATGGATGGTGACAGGCAGCGTGGAAGAGACATGCGCATTTTCAAGATATTTCTCCGATGCCCATTTCGACGCAACATAACCATTTGCATCCATTTGAGGTTGAGGTACAGGAAGTGACTCTTCGTATAGCTCACACGTTCCAAGCTGAGCAACACCGGCGGTTGAGACGAAATGGAAATGCGGTAATGGCCTGTTAACGGAGTATTGTATGGCCATCCGCACAAGGGCTTTAGTCGAAAGAACATTTGCTGTACGAAGAGTTAGGTAGCTTCGAAGAAATGAGACGTCAGCACCATTGTGAATTATCACAGAAAGTTTAGAAAAGATGTGCCTCGCGGTATCTTCTCCAAGCCCTAGGTTTGGGTCCCTCAGATCACCAGGGTGAACTATGACCTTTGGAGAGTTAATGAGGAGCTTTGAGGTATCTCGAACAGCGATACAATGCACTGTATCAACCACACTATCGTTAAGAAGCTTCTGCAGGATATGCCTTCCAAGGAATCCTGTTGCCCCTGTCAGCGCCACCGTAACTCCACTAGGGGACCCGTCAACAGGAATATGATCCTTGAGGCTCGCCACGAAGCTTGGACGCATTTCTTTGAATGCTACTTCCTCTTGCCAGTTGACATCGGTGATGGATTGGTGGAAAATATCGTTTTCAGTTGCCAAGGACTCCAGGAGCCTCGACATCCCCTCCAATGTGCTTGCTTCGAATAACTTAGCTAGTGGAAGGAGAATACCAAATTCTTTATGAACCTCGTTTTGTATACGTATGAGGAGTAATGAGTTTCCACCAACCAGAAAAAAATCAGAGTCAAATCCAATATCGTCCTCTGTCACTATCCCGCCAAGTACAGAGACCCAGATTTGCTTCATTTTATCTCCGGTAGAAGTTCTCGTGGGCCGTTCCCTATAGTGCTCGCCATTTTCAACGAGTAAACTCGCCATTTTCCCCAGAGTGCTGGCCTCGAATAAGTTCACCAAGGGGATGTTTTGACCAGTGCGCTCATTGATCTTGTTTTGGACTTTGATCAGCAGTAACGAATTACCGCCTACAAGGAAGAAGTCAGAATTTTTCTCCAGAGCCTGTCCGGCGACGAGATCTCCCAAGGCGTCTCTCCATATATCTTCGATGTCATGCAGAAACTGTGTGCTTCTGTTTTGTTCCGGGGAGGGTAATGTTTTAGAGACCTCAGCTGGGTTCTTGAGCGGTGACTTGGAGAGAAGTTTTCGATCAATTTTCCCATGATGGTTTAGAGGCATGGATGGCAAGGACACCACAATTGACGGACGCATGTATTGTGGTAAAGCGAGATTAGAGATCACGTTTCGAAGCATGCTGTCGATAACGGGGCCGTTTGTGCCATACCTCTGCTGGATTTCCGTAGCAAGGACAACATGTGCAACAAGGAAAGCGGAAGCGGCGTCCCTGTCGTTTTGGTGCCGAATATGAGCAATAGCCTCTGAAATATCCCCTTTGCCGTCAGCAAGCACCGCTGCTTCAACTTCTCGTAACTCAAACCGCTGTCCTCGTAATTTAACCTGCGTATCGCCATTCATTCGACCCAGTGCAACAAAGACGCCATCTTCTCTCATGTAACCACGGTCACCACTTAGATGAGCATGATTCCACCCATTCGCCATGGAACGACTGCTAGCAAGTATGTCCTCAGGAAATTTAGCTGCTGTAAGCTCTGGTTGATTGATATAGCCCAAAGCAACACCAGCTCCTCCAATAACGATTTGGCCCGGGACACCTGCGGGAAGTGGATGGTTGTCTATATCCATGATGTATACACTGTAATTAGGCAAGACCTTGCCGATGGGCACAGGAGAGAGAGCTAGACCGGAGTTCCAGTATGGAACTTCGTAGGCATGCGGGACGATTGTCTCTGCGGGACCGTAAGCATTCATGAACCGCAGGTCCGGCTTCTGTACTGCTTTTAGCTTTTCAATAAGGTTGTTGCTAATTTCCTCGCCTGCAGATATGTGCCATTCCCATACAGACTCGCGTAGCTGTTGTAAGTCTCCGTATTGGAGCCAAGACATAGCCTCTGAGGGTACTGCAAGCGTGAGTGTGATCATTTGTGAAGTGATCAGCTTGGTAAGTGCAATGGGATCCTTTCGAACAACCTTCCCAGCGACAACAACAGTTCCACCAGTAGCAAGTCCAAGCAAAGACTGCCACCAGGACACATCAAAGCTTAGGGCAATCTGTTGAAGGACAGTTTGAGGCTTCATTGGAAAGGTTTCAAGAAATCCCTTGATGGTGTTTGTTACCATTCGATGAGGTAGAGAAATTCCCTGTCTTTCAGTTAGTACTTTGTGCCTGGACGAAATAATTTATGGAAATTGAAGAACTTATTACCTTTGGCGTACCTGTAGAGCCACTAGTGTATAATATAATCGCCTCTTCCGTAGGATCAGCGTTGTAGAAAGGGGAGCCAACCGCCTCCCCATTCTCACTGATTGTATCAACATTGATTACGGGTGTAGCTTGCGCGACGTCTATATCCTTGTAGAGAACTTGAGTCGCATCGTGAACTAGAATAGCGGCGAGATTGGCGTCTTCAACAATTGATTTTAGGCGTCCAGCACCCTGAGTGACTTCCAGAGGAACATAACTCGCGCCAAACCGCCAGATTCCAAGCATGGAGCATATCCAATCCACAGTAGGTTCTTGGAGAACCCCAATTCGAGATCCTTTGGGGATACCCAAAATGGAAAGTTCATGGGCAATTTGAGTGGACCTTTCCATCATTTCGACATAAGAAAGCATGCCGCCATATGTATCCTTGAGTGCGACCTGTTCAACGAGTCTGGCGGAGATGCTGTCTAGGTATCCAATGAGAGGCCCAAATTCAATGTCAAGGCTGGCTCCTACATTTCCGTGAATTAGCGGCAAGAATCTCGTAGAATAAAGGTTTCATGGAGGATACAGAACAATCTGTCTAGCATAGAAGCTTGTGGTTGTCAGGGCCGGACTTACCTTGGCCTAATTGGATTGCCTTATGAACCGCAAGATCATTAAACATTTGCGGTTGACGCCCAGGGAGGTGTACATCACCAGTAAAAGCGTCTGCAAGGTTCATGAAACAATCCAGCAAGACTTGTGCTTCATGCTCAGTGTAGAGCTCTTTCTGAACCATGATGGCTATCCATGGGTCGCCAGCTGGTGGGTCAATAATTGCCAACATGATGTCGTACATGGTTTCTCCGATCTCATACTCTCTATTTTCTATTATACCGTCTCCAAATGACCTGTTTTCTCTGGTTGGGATGTAATTGATGAATGCTTGGAAGAGAGGGCTATGAGACGGATGTCGGATAGCCCCAACCTCGTCTAGAATTATGTCAAATGGCACCGCAGAATGGTTCAAGCAAGCCAGACCTTTAGCTTTGTTTTCGTTAAGTAGAGAGATGAACGATTTCGAAAGCTGTGAACGTAGCCGCAGGGGAAACAGATTCAAGAATATGCCCACACTACTATCTGAACCAGGATCGTTATGCCTGTTTGCGCTGGCAACGCCAATACAGACATCCTCGGATTCAGTTAGCCGGCCGAGAAGAATTTGAAAGACCGTCACATAAAAGTTGAATGGAGACTGTATGTATCCTCGTTTTCGAAGTTCTTGGAGTCGAGCGGTAGTGGCAGAGTTTAGCCGCCTCTCTGCTCTTACATGGCGGTAGGTTGTTCTTGTCGCCGGGCGAGATCGAAGTGTGTTTGGTGAGAGGGGTAGAATGGGTAAAATCTCTGGAAGATCCTCAAACTCGTTCTTCCAAAACAAGATATCATCTGCATATTGCCCCGTACGAAGCCGATCATGCTGTCTACTGGCAAACTCATTCTGTTGGAACGGCGGTGGCAATTTGGTTCCCTCATAAGTTAGCCTGAGATCGTCAGTTATCGCTATTATGCTCATTCCATCAATATTGATGTGGTGATAGCCGACTATTAAATGATGCCTGATTGGTGACTCCGTGAGAAGTAGAAGTCTCAATGTTTCACCTTTTGCAAGGTTGTACACGTGCTTGTTCATGGCGTCGATTTCCGTGCGTACTTGATCTTGAGCCTTGATAATCTTCGTCTCCAAGTATAGTGGAGACTCCTCCAAGACGCCCTGTTTGGGCTGGTTTGAGTCGTCAGTCAAAAATGCAGTCCTCAGCCCTTCATGCCGTCTACCCATTTCGCGCACGAGGCCCGCAAGTACCTCAATGTTGAGGTTTGTGGTTATTAGAAATGAAACAGTCCCGTTAAAAAAGGTTGGATCATCTACAAATTGCGTCATGAACCAAAAACCAGATTGACCAAAAGACATTGGAAGAGACTTGATGATTTTTGAGGGTGGCGGCGTCACCTGAATCACCTCATTGTTGATTAGTTTTGGGTCTCTTGCTGATCCCACAGTGTCATGAGAAAATGAAGAGGAATCATCAGGCTTTCTGCCTTGATTTGTCTTTTTAGGTAAAGAGAAGGCCATTGAATTGGTAGCAGAGTCACTAGAATAAGTAGCTGATGAGGCTGGAGTCCCTGCTATGTAGCCAGAACTATGTTGGATCGGTAGGTCTTGATCAACGGCCTTCGTGATTAGAGATAGACTTTTGTACCCATCAGAGCTCCTCAGACGCAAGCATCCCAGTGCGTTCAGCTTGTTCGCACCAGCGTAATTTGATCTAATCCGAAAATTAAAGAAGTCTGTCCTGTCTCCGTGTCTCTCATGGCTACCAGTAGACTGAAGTTCAAGGATAATCTGAACTTGGTCCTCACCTCTGGCCACGGTGATGTCGTTTTCGATGAAAAAGTCGTCAAGTTCAAATTTTCGGACAATCCTTGATCCAGACAATTTGAGACATGCCTCAGCAACGATCTTGACGTAACCAGCGGGTGGAAAGAGACCGGGTAGTGATACATTCTGGTCGACAAGCGAGAGAAGTGTTGAGACTTGAATTGTATTGTGCCAGGTGAGTCCTAGGCCCAACGGATCGACGCTTGATACCCCCAGAAGTGGGTGGACAATTTTGACTTGAGCTGGTAGCTTGGTGCCGGCATCCGGCTGTAGCAACTTAGACATCTTGGTCCAAGTCAAGCGCTTCAACTATGCGAGGTTCAATATAGGGTAACTTGTCACATCACTGAAACAGTCGACCTACGCTACATAGATGGACACTAGGAACTATTATATAGACCAAGATGAATAGGACATATAAAGTCCGAGGGATAGCCTATGCGACGGGTAATATAAGCCCTAATTGAAAACGATTCGAGGTTCCACTAAATGCCAAAGAGTGTGCTTACTATTTTGTATACGAATATACACGGAACTCAGCCTTTCATACCACCCTTGCTCTACAGAATTTTGATAGTCGGCTACACTGGATGATAGTTGCATAAACTCTATTTTTTTTATACCGATGTAACAGCTGGAAAGAGTCATCGAGCTTTAAATGGACACATGTGTCTTTTACTATGCACTACAGCATATCACTCCTTCGAAATACATACCTCCTTTACGTCCTTCTAGTTGGTCGCAGAGGCTGGAGCTAATATGTAGTTATTGGGAGATATCTACGTAAACATATCCCCAGCTGCCGTGCCTGACATGAGAGATAACGAGCCTAGATTTAGCTCAATCCATTAGTCCCCCAGGTACATAATAAATTGGCATAGGCTTGATCAGTATATATTAAACACTGAGTAACTGTTAGTGACTTATTCAGCTACAACCAATAAAACCAATCCTCTGCTCACCTGATGATGACTGCATGCACTAGCATGCTGCTTACAGGTAGGTTACCAATTGTGCGACTTCGCCGATTTGTCACTCCCTCACAATAAGGGCCGAAAACTCTCCAAGTATTTGCCGTATTAAATATAGATAGAGGGGTTTTCTATTTAGGTTGGGATAGAAAATGTACACAATTCTTATAGTATCTCAACAGCTGCGGAGAGATATCTTTTGTTTGGGCGCCAAGTTTATAACAAATAGAGTGAACACTGATTGAAAAGGGGTTCAGGCAATGCCGCTAACTACACGTCTAAAGTAAATAGAGGATTACACCGGATATTACAAATAGTGTAGTAAGTGTTACACACACTAGTAAGAAAATAAAGTAATAAGACAATAAATACGGTATAGGAGTCTACCTACGGAGTAGAGAACAAATGCAATCCCAAATGGAAAAGAGCCAAGGATCTACAACCGATATTCCTTCTTCCGTCGGATTCACAGAGCGCTGCCGGCCATCAGCAGCGTGCTTGAACTGGTAACATTTCCGCGCCACTCATCGCCTGATTTGGCAATGACCGCAAGATGGATTTTGTTCAATATGCTAAAATGATTCCACCGCAGCCTCGGATGACATCTCTACACCCCCCTGCTGACCTATGCACACAGTGCACCTCTGGCAATTCTCTAAAAGATTATTTAGCGATGGAAGGCTTTACGGCAGGAAATGATAGAGTATCATGTTATGCGAGCGCTCATACTGGGTGCAAATAGGATTGCCAACAACATATACAGTACGTATTGTTTTGCAACATCCTGAGTCTACAATCATTCAAATAGACTGTCAAGAAGTTCAGAAGCTTGTGCGGAGCTCAATGTGAAGTGCGATTTCCAGATGTTGTATTCACAGTACCTACATGCAGGAAGATAGCATGCATATACGTTGGGATCCCATCAGTCCCGATTGAAATAAACAGTCCAGTGTGCCAAAGAAAGTAAGGACAATTATACTCCAACGGTCAGCGAAGGTGGTCTTGCGTCCTACCGAGCCAATTGAAGAAGTATAACAAAGCATTTTCGACCTGCTCTACGACGCTGGTACTAATCATCAGCGAGAAGAAAAATAATAGGATGCATCTCCAGTCAGATAGGGAGGCGATAATGCACAGATGGTATTGTGGCCGTCTTCAATCGACGCTTAGACTCATGTGTCAGCTGCTTGAGGTGCCCATACGCGCCTCCTAGGCGTGGCACTATCATTGCGGATTATGATACCATAATCTCTCATCATAACAACAGTCCGGTGGTAATCTGGTCGGCTTCACGACATCTCAAGCCATGTAATACCATTAGTCTCTTAAGATTCCAACTGACGGATCGGGCCTTGGTAAACTAGACAGGGGGTGCTATTGTCAAAATTTTCTAACTATATCTGTCGAATAACTGTAGTCTGCTTGTCGCATATGTCGCTTGCAGCTACAGCAGAATGCATATTGCGCAAGATGCTTATTACTTGGTAAGCGAAGTACAGTTGAATCTCAAATCTTTACAGATGGAGCAATTGAATCATCGCTTGAGACAGTACATATATATTATGCTACACTAAACCACGATGCACCGAGAAACCCTTTTCGCAAAAAGAAAACAACTTGAAGAGCAACGAGTAGACGAATTAGCGAGATATCGGAGACATTTACAATACGCGCATTACTCTAGCAGCTCCAACAACCCCAACAGCCCCAAACCAATGGGCTGCGCTATGACCTGGGGCATAACCCAGGTACCTGTAGAGATTGCTCCACCAGCTCCAACAGCCCCAAACGCCACTAAATTACATGTACTCAGGGCAATTGCTTTATCAAACCTTTGAACCTGACCTCTGGCTCGCTCGTGCCTATATAATAAGAAACGAAGTCTCAGCGAGTATCATGTTTGTCTATCTTCACCAATAACTTCATATCCCCACCAAATTTCATTATGGCCTCCAAACAAACCGTTTTCCGTTTGCAAAGCAGGAATAGCATTGTCGACCTTACCAAGTCTGTAGAGGAGATACCAAAGGTTGAAGCTCATGAAGTTCTTGTCAAGGTTCGCAGTGTTGCACTGAACTTTCGAGATTTAGCCATCGCTACTTCGCGGTATCCATTTCCCGTCAAAGACAATGTAATCCCTGTTTCGGATGCAGCTGGGGAAATTGTTGAAATTGGACCTAATGTCCAAGGATTTACTATAGGCGATTGGGTCATTGCCAATTTCAACCCACGCAATTTATACGGCCCTATGAAAGACTGGTTCGGTGGCTTAGGCGGCCCGGTGGACGGCGTTCTTCGGAATTACCTCCCTATCAACGCGGACTCGCTTATCAAGGTTCCCAAGGAATCTTCATTGAAAGCTTCACAGTGGGCCGCGCTTGTCTGTACCGGCACGACCGCTTGGAATGCTCTTTATGGAAATATTCCTTTAAAGCCAGGGCAGACTGTACTGTTCCAAGGTAAATACGCTGACCGATATCTTGACAAAGGACTGAACTCAACGAATCTGAACGCAGGTACGGGTGGTGTTTCCATTACTGGATTAGTTTTGGCTAAAGCAGCGGGAGCAAAAACAATTATGTAAGGATTCTTTTATTTACTGAATACTAGGTACTGTCGAGTGTTGATAATTATTAGTACCTCATCTAGCGATGAAAAGCTGGCCTATGTAAAGAACAAATATGGCGTTGATCACACCATCAACTACAAAGTCCATCCAGAATGGTCTAAAGAAGTACAAAATATCACGAAAGGAAATGGCGTTGACTATATTTTTGAGAATGGTGGGTCTGGTACGATTAAACAAAGTATTGACTGCATTGCCTTTGGCGGCATGATATCCATCATAGGCTTTTTATCTACCGCCAAGCAAGACGAAATGCCGGATGTAGCTGGTCTTGCTCTTTCCAAAGGCTGTATAATTCGGGGAATAACTGTCGGGTCGAAGCAGCTGCTTGAAGAATGCGTGCGCTTTGTTGGTTCTCACAACTTGGAGATCCCGGTGGAGAAGACGTTTTCTTTCACTGAAGAGGGCGTGACGGCTGCTTATCAATATTTATCGGAGGGTCAACATATCGGGAAGGTTTGCATCGATTTCGAATAACCGAAACAGTCTGGTCTTTACATATCATTCCAAAGAGGTAACATTTACTCATTAGACTATGTCATATGCTGAAATGATCTCTCATACATTCTCGCGTATTCATTTAGACATTCGCCAACGTGCACTGTGATTGCCCATGAGGACTTTTCGCTGAAGATCTTCGACCATACTTTCAACACAGCTATACTCATATTCCTGGGACCTTGACACCAGGTTGATGTATCCGTGTGTTCCCAATCTGCAGAATCAGCGGCTTCTTTGATGACGGATGCAATGGATGACAGTACGTGACGCTCATATGCTGAACTCAATCGGTTAGAGATGGGTGGAATACGCCAACCCGGGGGTGACTAAAGAGGTGGTGGAAGCTTAAATAGAACTCACATTCCAGAGTATTTGACACTTGGGTACTGGCAATAGTTTCTAGCCATTTGCTGAGAAAAATCGCATACTCAAGCGCGCATACTGCATGCTGACAGCACCACAATATTGATTGGCTCCTAGCCACATGTTCAATGCCAAAGGCTACTGGTAAACTCAGTGCGTGAACTGCATGTAATAAAGCACTTGTTAGATTTGAATGGCGTGGTGGAGGAGTAATTGAAAACAACGCTGATGCCACTGCTTTTGGATCGCGCGATGCCAACCGCATATGAGGGCCTGTATCCATGTGAGTTCGCACATATGCTAAGGTTAAGAATGCAACAGAGGTGAAAGGAATCGGCCCATGCTCGCTACTTGGATGTAAATCGGAGCCCGACACGCGCTGCCATATACTGGCCCACGAGGAGAGTGATAAGCTGCAATTTGGTCAGTACGATTCACCTACCGATTCACCGCCATCACTTGTTGGAGAAACAGCATCATTGACCGATTAACGTACTGGATTTTGTGGGTTTTGCGATCACCCAAATTAGATCCAAATGAAAGCTGGCGTTGTAAATATATACGCTGCAAGACTCCGTGGAGTAGTATCAGATTGCCAAAAGCGCAAGGCAAGGTTTCCCACTCCGCTGCCTCAGTCGTCACGAGGGACTCAAGTGCATCTTGAAAGCCAATCAGGATACACGGGTTCGCTTTTCGACATGCCGCCCACTCCTGGTCATCTGTCGCTTGCCACTCCTCTACTGAACAGGGGAGTCGAAGGTGAATATCTCTGGTGAATAAAGATGGCGGTCGATTATATATGAGGGTATGAATGTCAAAAAAACAAAATGCAAGAAAAGAAATTCGGCGTTCGGCCTCAGATAATGTCCATTCGACCCAGTTATGCTCGATACCGTCATCGTGTTCCGCAAAACCGCTTCTTCGCATGTACTGTAGTATGGGCTCATGTAGCGCAAATCCTTCCGTAACGACAGAGGCATCGCGGGCCCAAGTGGAATATATCAGGAGAAAAACCAGAGTCTGAGCGGACTGCAATTTCAGAGTTCGATGAATATTATCTGAAGGAGAATTCGTTTCAAGCTTAATGAGGGTTATTATCCAGTCACTCACAAAAAGATAGCCCATGCACATACTTGTAAGTCCAGCCTATCGACCTGCAATCTCTCCAAAGCCACAGCTGTGGCCGCTTTGTATAACTTTCTAGATGTATGCTCTTCCAATGCCTGCACTGCGCCGAGTGCGGCCATGGCAAGAATGAGCTCGGGAATACAATTCCCTAGCCGAAAGGTAGGAAAGTGTATGACTGGAAAGTGGCGGGATAATGCTGTAGGCCAGGTGTCCATATACCTCATGAGCATACGGGGCGATGGGAGAGTGAAATCACTGGCAATGGTTCGGAATGGACGAAGACCCTCTTCAAGAACCTTGATATCGTCATCGGTAATGTCGAGACCGGTAAGCTTAATGGCTCCAGTAAGTCCATAGTCTATTGTTATTTTTTAGCCAGATCATATAATACGCCACCGCTTGCTCGAAAATAATGTTCAATCTTTAAGATGAGTCTCAACAGATAGTGATTGCAGGTTCTCAAGGTTGCGCCATACCATGTGGATGTAAATGTCTGCTAAAAGGCAAAGGTCCGATGTTGTTGTGATCGAATTTCTTACTACCCAGGAGATCCGTTTCCAATGCTGGATTTTCCAGTACTGGTGCAGAATCGCAACATATATTGAAGGAAATGGGAGAAGTAACAAATTCCGCAGGCAATTCTATGCCTTCAACAAACGCCTCGAAACTGTCCAAGGGATCAATAAACGTAAAATCATTATGTGCAACTATTGTCAAATCAGCTTCGACAGATTCTTAACAGGTGCACAAACTTGATGTTGAACCTTCGGAAGTTCCTGTTGCATCATTAATTGGAACTACTGATGAGCTTGAGATTTGTATATCTCTCATTGAGTCTTGTAGAGGGCCTGTTCCAGGGAGTGTAGTTGTGGAAGATTCGCCGGCATGGTTGTCATTTGACTCGAGAGGGGCCAGGTGAGTGAGTTTCTCGTGCCGGCGCAACAAGTCTGAACGCGTAAATGCAGCTCCACAGAAGCAAACGAATGGTTTTTCATTGGTGTCTGTGGTTCTCTGAATCAGTTCATACGTCTAATTATCAAGCTCCAGCCTTGCGTACGTGTCCGGCAATGACGCCGCAGATGCTCTGGTCGCTTAAAATCACGGCCACAGTGAGGACAAGTATGCAGGTTGGGCATTTCGGACTTTAGATTCGCTGGGAATGGTCTGAGAGGCGAAATCAAGCATATGATATATAGGAATGAACAATTAGTTTAATACCATGAATTGTCGGTTAATACCACCAAGTGACATGAAGACTCTGATTACTCTAGCTTGATATATTCACAGTATTAGGATGTAGCTTATAAATAAGACATTCGCTCAAAGTGCTCAGCGCTGAGCAATGCCAGTTGAATTCTAGACTTGTGCCTCCAATCATCGTCCTGAAAATCCACGTATCCGCCCCACCACCTTAGCTCGATTCCACTCACAGAGCAGCAGATTTCCCTTGCTCCAAAGCACCAACTTGAAGCGAATACCCCTCCTTACATACGAAAAGAAGTGGGGGAATGGATTCCACTCACTCGAGGCACTAAATACCTAACAATCGGCCTTCAGTGAACAGGCTTTCAGTTCCCGACTTCAAGTCACCGCCTTCAACTTGTTTCGGATGCATGCAATTAAACGACTATTTAAGCTACGTCTGTGTTAATCATGGGAGAAGATTCCATGGTCCTATTTTCTGTATTTCTTTCTGGGGTATTTTATGCTACATGGCAAACTGCACTGTGCTAGAACATGGGAGCAATCTCAAAGGTCGTCCAAGATTGGCACGCAGATTATTTCTCTATAGCCACCCATTTGGTAATACACTACACACCTCGGCTATGGGGTAGGTAAATGTCTCCGTCCCGATGCTGCTAAACCGATGCGCAGGGCAACACTTAATGCCTCGGTAAACCATCCGAGTGTGTGTACAAATACACAGAGTCTGATGGATAAGCGGCGGTGAGAATTCGGAGCCTCTTTATTTTTTTATGGCGCTACCATCAGGGTAGCTACGCTCTGCTTTTATATCACCACCGTGAAAGCACACATACATTTCTGTAAGATGTCAATATTATTCAACAAGATCTCGAGTCCTCGGATAGGGAGTCGAATATGCGTAAGGTATACCATTGGATATGAAGAAAGAAACATGATTCAACCAGAATGATCGAAGCAATGCTCCAACCTACTCTGTACTTTAATCAGGATCCCCAGATTCTCTCCATGACAATTGAGTATTGGTAAGATTAATAGTTTAGATCGAGCTAAAAGGACCCCAGAGAAAGGTTGTGGTCTCTATCTTAGCAAACTAAGCTTTCTTAATATGCCCACAGCGCCATCAAACTTCGAGGCAGTTAGTAGCTAAAGTATATCTCAATTGCTTCCGTCACAATTGCATAACTTCTCATTGGGAGATTTCCCCCACTTCCTCGTTCCAATAGATACCTTACCACTAGAATTCTTTCAGCTTAAGTGGAAATGCATCTACTAAATAAAGACAGTATGTCAAATGGTGCATGTTTTTAAACAAAGAACAATATTGTATCAACCAAGCTACCCAGTGACCTTTCCGCCCAGTCGCCCTTTTTGTACCAAATGTCGCCCCCAAAGAATGCCCTGATCGCCGTTACGTCGGCACACGCAGCCTTGTATCCGGAAGGCAAAGAAACTGGTCCGTTCAATCCGAGAATATGTCCTCTTTACTTCCGTCTGATGCGACATCTAATATAGGTCTTTTCATTACCGAGGCATTGCACCCATTTGAGGTGTTTCAAAAAGCCGGTTTCGAAGTTGACCTTGTATCTGAAACTGGAACCTATCAGCCCGACTGGCTTTCACAGCAAAAAGATTGGCTCTCGGATTCTGAGCGAGCTACATGGGAGGACCATTCTAGCGAGTTTCGTAGCAAGCTGGATCATCTTCTTCAGCCAAACGACATTGACCCAGCAAAGGCATGTCACCATATAATTGTCAATTGGTTAATCGGCTGCTAATCATAAAGAATGTGCTCAGTACGGACTATTTTTTGCTTCAGCTGGTCATGCATCCCTGATTGATTACCCTGTTGCTCATGGGCTCCACAGGGTTGCCTCCAAAATGTATGCCTCGGGAGCAGTCATTTCAGCAGTGTAAGTGGCAAACTAATATGGTGGCCATTCCAATCGTCCTGCTAACTAATATGTCTCCATTGTTAGTTGTCACGGCGGTGCAATATTCCCAGGCGTTGTTGACCCAGTCACCTCTAAGTCTATAATTGCGGGTAAAAGAGTGACTGGATTTACCACACAAGGTGAAGAAGAAGAAGGAGTTCTTGACACTATCAAGAGTTGGAACCGCCCTACTATTGAGTCACATGCGGTTAACGAGGGTGCTACTTGTCAGTCACAAATAATCACTACACATTCTTACCAGGACTTCAACTAATGGTATTCATTGAATAGATGTCCCCCCGCCAGGACCATGGGACGCTTTTGCAATCTCCGACGGGCGCATTGTTACCGGTGCCAATCCCGCTAGTGCTACGGTCACGGCCGAAGAGGCTGTCAAGGTATTCCGCACCTTGTAAGATGTTTATCCGTTCATTTTGATATCTTTTCATCTGGAATTATATTCGCTATTGGTAGTCAAATTGTAATTCTATGTGTTTTCTGTTTATTGGATTCTCTACCTTATATATTTTCTCTCATTAAATGCCTCTTCGACTTTGAAGCCAAACAGATCCTGTGATTGAAGATTTCGACTTGCACTCGATTGATAATATAAGGCAGAGCGTTTGGGATTTGGGATTATAGCTGGGCTTCTACCAAAAAGCTACGAGCCAGTCTAGCGCCTACCCTCGGCTCTAGCGAGCTGGCTCGTAAACCAAATGCCGACCTATTCAATTGCCGCCGGCTATCTGACAGGGAGGTATTCGGACCATTTCCAACATAATGATAAACTGGGTCTTCATTGCCGATGCCTTCTGTGTTCTGTTAGATTTGAAGTTCAAACTCTTAAATTACCCATCAATTGTTGAAAGACAACACCGCAATTGTGGTAGTTCTTAGGTCGACCAAGTTTCCTTGACTTGGAGTCCTTTTTCGCCCAAATTGAAGATTTGAACTACACTATACCACAATGACTACGTTTTATCTCCAATCCGTGGACAATGACCTGCGCGGCCGTCTTGCGCTGGTGACAGGATCAAGGTTCGTGTAGCAAAATAGACATAGACGCAGCACCCACAGACTAATGTATAGCATCTTCAAATCTCAAGTGGTGGGATTGGCTCGGCTTGTGCAAAATCATTGGCCTCCGAAGGCTGCGATGTCGTTCTTCACTTCTCCTCTAGCAAGGTAATTGACATACATTATGCCCTTACAAACTAGCAACTAGTGGATTAACACAATTCCAAAAGGAACAAGTTGAAGTATTAGCCTCTGAGCTTCGACGAGATTATCCGTCACAATTGTTCGTTACCGCTCAATCCAATCTTACGTGCCGCAAATCCACACGCTCGTTTATAACAACGGTGCTGGCTACGCCGACTATCGCTGAGAAACACAAAGCGATATCTGTGCTGGTTGCAAACGCTGGTATTGGTCGTCGCATCCGAGATATTAAGGACATCAATGAAGAAGACTGGGATGATATGATGGAAGTCAATGTTCGCAGTCAGTTTGTCATTACAAAGTCTGTTGTAGAAGGGATGCGGTCGCAGGGCTGGGGAAGGGTGATTCTCGTAAGCAGCATTGCGAGCCGAGGAGGCGGGCTGAATGGGTGCCATTATGCAGCTTCGAAGGGTGCTTTAAGGTGAGATTTCGGTTATCTTCATGGCTATAAATTGCATGTCCGTGGATAGCATGGTTTGACAGATTCCAGCTCGATGGGGTTGAACTTGGCTGCTGTTCTGGCTACAGAAGGTATTACGGTCAATATTGTAGGTTTAGTTTTGACCCCCTGCGGCGGTTGAGCTTTCTGACATGTCTTTAGGTTTCGCCAGCCATGATCGGTTCTACAGGAATGATTCCTACTCCAAAAGAACGGTAAGTCGTGATAACTGCGCATCTCAATGTTGTTTTTGGGGCTAATGCCTAGGCATGTAGGACATGGACGTCTAAATGTGACATGGAGGCAAAAAAAGAGTCGGATCCCGGACTTGTAATAGCTAGCAGCGTTCCGATTCACCGACTTGGGGTGCCAGAAGAGGTGGCCAATGTGATAGTAATGTGAGTTTTCCCACGCTTACGGAAACGGCAAATATCTGAATTCGCGATTAATGATGGGTTACAGGTGTGCAAAGACAGGGTATATGACGGGACAGGATATCTTATTAGCTGGTGGATTAAAATAGATGAATATTTCTGTATTGGCCGTCGAAAGCGTCGCATCTCCTGTATTCATGTAATAATCTAATATCATCATGTGGATTTTCACATTCCACTTATGTGATTAACCACAATTCTATCTAGTCTGACGCTTGACAGCCATGTGGTCCTAGAGCACCGTATCCTTCCCTCCCCTTTATACTTTCGCCAATACAGGCTTCTGTTCCGGGACCAATGTAAGGAATTTTCCTTTGGTGATCGCGCTTTTGACGTTGTCAATCACTAGAACCTCCATTTCTTTCTACACATTTCGAAAAATCAAGGTCAGTACCAAGCCTCTGGGGGAATATTAGTGTATGGTTACATACCTGGGTATCAACAGTCGCAGTACCAATGTGAGGAAGCAAGACAGCACCGGGATGGCTGATTAGCTTCGGGTTGATCTGAGGCTCCTTTTCGTAAACGTCCAAGCCAACGCTCCAAACCTTGCCGGACTCAAGGCTCGTTGCTAGAGCCTCTTCATCAATGATAGCACCTCTAGCCGTGTTTACAATGATTACGCCATCCTTCATCAAGCTGAACTCATTCTTGCCGATCAAGCCCTGAGTAGCCGGTCCCAACGGTAGATGAACTGAAATGACATCGCTAGTCTGAAGCAGTTCTTGGAAGGTTACGTATTTGGGAAGCTCTTGAGGAGTAAAATGCTTGTCTAGGTTATCCACAGGTCTCCTGTTATGGTATTGCAATTTGAACCCAAGAGCGGCGGCACGCTTAGCCGTAGCAGTTCCAATGCCGCCCATGCCCAGAATGCCGAGCGTCAGTGTATGGGGATCGCGACCGAGAGGGCTCGCACCTCGCCACTTGCCCTCTCGGAGGGCGAGCTGAGGAATCCAGGCACGGCGTAATGCGCCAAGGATGAGAAAGATGGCCGTATTTGCGGTGGCAGCATCGACAGCTTTGGGAGTATTTGATACAGAGATATCTAGGCAGAGGAAAAAAGTCAGAATTTCCTCCAGATCAGAGACTTGCAGGGTCCTATACTCTTCTCCGTGCACGGCTGGATATCGATTTGGTCGTAGCCCGCGCCGTTGTGAGAGATGAACCTGATTGACGAGGGGAGGTGAGAAACGAGTTCGCTATCAAATCTTCCCGTGATCTGTAGTTGTTAGTTAGTAACTTGATTTATTTATTTGCTGATAGGTTAGACACACCGCTACCGAGTCGTATGTTCTCGAAATGGCGACAACGTGGTCGTATTTGCCGTTGTCGCAATCGCGGATGAATTCGTCACGCGAACCAGATGTCACTTGCTGTGATTTTTTCCAGAATCCTTAGTATAAAGATAGTACTGACGAATAAATCTCAACGAGCGGGCGCATTAACAAACCGTAACATCTGCAACATCGGAGAGTTTCTCAAACTCTGCTTTCGCATGATGAACAAGTCCGAGCATTAGGACGCCGGGCTTTGATGAAGATGATCCAGCCATTTTTGGAATTGTTGTTTTTCCAACTTATTGATTGGATTTTCGAGGTAAGAATATTTCAGACGTCCGAGTCGCGAGCCGGAACAATGGTATGACAAAGGTAAGCACAAGATAAGTCCAGGGCGAAGTTCACACTTTCTGTGGAAGAGACCAGAAGGTGGGGGAGGATTTACGGCATCATTTGCCCATTTGCCCATTTGCCCATTTGCCGCTCCGCCCCACGAGTTGACGAGGCGGATGCCGGCTATTGACATCGGCTCCACCCCGCAAACTCTCCCGTCGCGGCGTTTGATCTCAAGCATTGAAGATTCCCTATCACCCTTGATAACGAGTCTCGTTAGCCGATGGAATTGCTCTCGACACGGATGCCGACCGCTGGCATGGCACGATCAAAGGCGAAGCGGGTCTCTCGTGCATGTCTTTCTTGCCGTACACGCAAAACAAGATGCGACCTGTGAGCAGAACAACATCCAAAAAGCCAGACAGGGCAACACGCGCGCGTACCCCCCTGTCAGGAATAACCTCGCTTACTGACGCTTATTGAGGAGCAGCGATTCCGAGGGAGTGTCTGGCGTGCCTCCATGTCGTCGATGCGTTGAGCAACAATTGGAATGCGTTCTGACAAAGTCAAGACGTGGAGGGCGTAGAATCAAAGGAGTTCGTAATTCGATCGCCCAACCGGCCAGCCGTGGCAATGAAGGCCATGATCCGGCTACCACTACGCGCGACGACGACGGCAGCGACTACCATAGCCGACAAACAAGTCATTCTCTTCCAGACCAGCATCCAGGAGGCACAGATGATATGCAAGGATGGCTTTCTTCGCAACAAACCGGCAACTGGCAAGCAGACAGCCATGACGAGGGGGGTTCCACCCGTGAGCTGGCTGAATCGAGGACCAGTTCAGATGGTTTGGAAGGACATATTGCTACTACCGACCTCTTGAATCCCTCGGACGCACTCGACCTTCTCGCTCAAGTTGCCGACTTGGATCCTAGTAGACAACGAGATGAATCTACAGGCCAAGCTGACTTAAACAATAGACTTGTAAACGGTATGCGGCAAACCGTCGGTAGGCCAGCTACCAGTTATTATCCTCCACTGGATGATGGGATCTTAACGCTCTCGGAAGCGTCTTATCTTGTCAAAAGGTAACCACCCTGCGACCTTTTCAACCATCAATCGACCGCCCATTAACTTGCTGAACTCTTTGCATAGATATCATGAGAAATTCCACCCTTTCTTTCCGGTGGCTCATGGTTCCATCTTTGAAGAGGGTACGATATCTGAATGGGCCGCCAAGGAACCCCATCTTTTGACGGCTATCCTTACTGTGGCCTCGAAAGATGACCCGTCATGGTTCAGAGTGTACGATGCGTGCTCTCGTCACATTGAAACGTTTATGTCGAACCTGATCTATGCAGGATCCACTTCTGTCGGCTCCGTGGAGGCTCTTCTTATTCTTGCGGAATGGGCTCCGCAACGCCCTCAAGAAAATTCCGCCATCGGTTGTGGCCAAGAAGATCATGGTGCCTGGATGCTTGTGGGCTTGGCCATTAGGCTAGGGTATCTGCAGAGGCTTGAGCAAACGGCACTATTACCAGACGAGGGAAAGCTTTCTGCAGAGATGAGTCGAAAGCGCGTTGCTTGGGCAGGTATGTGTCAAAGTAAAATCTATCAATCTCAGCCGTAGGAGGATTAACAATGATAAAGCGTGCTACATGTGCGACCGACAAGTGTCAATCCGGCTTGGGAAAGGATTTTGGTCCCGTGGACCTGGTCCAGCTCTTCACTTGCGCGCTGCGGACTTTCCAACATTGCATGAGCAAGCCCTTGGCCCGGACAACATGGGGCTGCTATTTCAGGCTCATCTTGAGCTTACCCAGCTAATTAGCAATGCCCATGACATCTTGTATTCGTCAACAAGTCACAGGCAGCAATTGTATATTGGAGGGGAGTATGTCAGATACATTGTAAGCGTCCCATGACTTTATCCACCGGCTGAGAGTTTACTGACACCAACGCACAGGATGACTTTGCTTCAATGGTTCGGAAGTGGAAGCTCTCATGGGCGAACCACAGTTGTAAGTTTTCTTTGTTGTTTTGGTTTTGTTTCCCCTTTACAATCCCATAGCAACGTCACTAATGTCTTCCAGTCACGCCACCTGTGAAAGCCTCTTTGGTGTTGTCCTTCGAGTTCTTGCGGCTCTACATCAACGCCTTCGCTTTCCAGGCCAACTTGAATAGAGCCGCAGCTCGAAATGCCCAAGTAGGGTCAGGGAAGGCCAATGGGCCGCTGTTCTCCAATGTTGCCGGAAAGCCTGACGCCCGATTCATATATGAGTCAATCGACGCCGCAAATTCTCTACTCAGCATATTGAACAGCTTCATCGACCCTGTGGCTGGTCTCAAATGTATGCCATTAAAATACTGTCTTTATGTGATATATGCCGCTGTCTTTTTGTTCAAGGTATAGTCGCTCTTCATTTACTGTCTTTCACGAAGAAGTAGGATACTGACAATTACATAGGCAAGGCTAGCGGGTGCCATCAGTAGCGATGGCGGCGATCGTGGAGTCCGGCGTGCCATTCAGGGCACCATTGCACAACTACAAAAAACATCAGATAATCCGCATAGCCTCGGACGGCGATACGCCACCTCACTTCGCCTCCTCTGGAGGAAATCATGTACGAAGCAGCCTAGCAAATCTGCTGCTCGTCATGATCCCTTGACTGAACCTCCAACGCCGACAATGGACGGTATTAACGGGCACGACGGCATTTCTTTACCACCCGCTGGTAAGGCGACGATCGATATGGACCCATTGAGCGGGTTCTCATGGAGAGATTTGGACTCATTGGGGCAATTTATTGCCAGTAATTCGACGATGAGCATGGCGGATGGGATGCTTGCTGGTGCAGATTTTGACTGGGAACACAGCTCGGGTGGCCTGGATGATCTTGTAGTGCAGCCACAGTTTGACACGAGGTGGGCCGGGCACGATATAATTTTCTAAGAGCAACTGTACTATAGTATATTGTAGTCAACTGGGCAGGTTCATGCTTATGCAGAATGACGAACTCAAATGAGGTTTGTTGTATGAGGCTCGAAGACAGTTGAGCCAGAAATGGTGCGGCCAGATGCAATGCTCCTGATGCCAGCGCCGAGTCCTTCGACCTCTACTATGTGTAAGTAGTACCAAGACCGATATTCGAAACCGATGGGGTTGTCCTATGTGGTACTTCGGAGACATACAAAGTATCAGTAACTTCTGCCTCTCTAAAGGAGGCCGAATAGTACTAGTTGTCACGTTTACCTAGGATCCGTTTGATCGAAGTCCCATTTATTTGAGATCATACATGCGCTCTTCACCGAAACCATAGCATTAATAAGTGCGCATAAGTTTTTCATGGTATACGAATATTTTAGTTCTATTAGCTAGAATAAAATGCGCAGTGGATGAAAGAATATTAAATCTGATTCATGGCCGCTTAATATATATAAACAAACTCGTCATTTTGACGATCCGTAAGATCCAGAAACGCCTGCTCCCCAAGCCGAGCCTCTCCCACAAACTCTGCAGTGCCAGCTGCATTCTCCTGTGCAATAACAGCCTCTTCAACCGTGTTACGCTCGTCCATAGTCTGATATGTCGAATCCATTGAGTGATCGACAACCTTGGCCTTTTTGCCGTTGCGCACACGCTTCTTTTCTTGGAGCTTGTTCAGGACAATAAGGTTAGCCCACTGGATGGCGACAACGGCGACGAGGGCCACAAAGATGGCCAAACAAGCACGGAGACCGGGCTTATAGGCCGGAGCGTCTTTATCATTGAATAGCAATGGCCCAATGATGTTGCCGGCCGAGCTAGCGGCATTGTAGACGCTCATGATCGAAGATTTCTTTGTGGTACCAGCCGTATTGCCAACGATCCAGGTGACAATAAGGGGATTTCCGCCGAAGAGAAAGGCGAGGAGATAGTATCCCACGAGAAGTGCTGCTTTTGCGGAATTGTCTCGAGGTACAGAGTAGAGAACAGCTAAGCCAGCGACAACAGGAATCATGAAAAGCATAAGTATAACGCCTTTAACCCGCGCCTTTTGGGCTAAGAAACTCGCCAGCAAGATAACAATAGTCTGTAAAGCGCCAAAGGGCATATTCAGCAAACTCGTCATATACTTATCAGAAACTAGGCCGTTTAAGATAAGAGGACCGAATGTGTTGGTCACACTCGCACCGACATTAAGCAGCAGTGCCATGGCGATCCATAAGTAGGTTTTAGGCTCCATGGCGGCCTCGAGGAGATGTTGCCACTTGAACTCTCGGCTTCCTGTTCCTGTTTGGTTGGCTCGGAGTCTCTCAATAGCTTGTGCCTTTTCTTGATCTGTTAGGAATCGAGCGGATGGGATATCATTGTCGAGCTTCCAGTAGATGAATGGGGCGGAGACGATCGTGACAAGGCCGACAAAGAGGAAGATGCTGTAAGTACATTATATAAGTATGAGGCAATTGTCTTAAGTATAGAAGATTGGCTGAAGACATACATTTGCCACTCCTTCAGTAGATCCGATTTAATATGCCCCAGGCCATAGGACAGAGCAGCCGCGATAATAGTCGCGGCTCCATTAGTGCCATACCACGCTGCAACTCGGATCGGCTGCTCGGCTCGTCTATACCATTGGCTGGTAATAATGCTGAACAATGGGAGGCAACCCGCTTCAAAAAGACCAAGGAAAAATCGAGCGGCCATTAAGCTTCTAAAGTTATGGCAAGCTGCCATTGATGCTTGCGCAATGCCCCATCCTAAACAAAGAGCGGGCATCAAAACTCGATGCGGGACTTTGACAATAAGATAGGATGAGAAAGGCTGCCATGCGAGCTGTGCAATCGGGGCAATAGAGCCGACTAATGAATACTCATTCCCAGTTAAGTGCGTATCCGTCTTCAACCCGTATGTAGCGCCGTAGCCGAGGACGGATTTGTCGAGAATCTGCAGGAAATACACCCAGACTAAGATGGCGAGAATAACACGATCCGTCTTGCGACAGATCCGGCGACTATCTTCCTCAGTAAGCTCGATTTGCTCGCTGCCAATGAGAGCTAAAGCCCGATCTCCATGTTTGAGTCGATCATTGGGCATCTCAACTTTGCCGCCATCAATGCTGCCTGGGTGCTCTTCGTGAACGGAATCTAGTTTGGTGTCCGTGGTGGGAGCCATGGTTATGTAAAAGCTACTGTTTCATAGGATATAAAGACTGAGATCAAACAAAAGCAAAGAACTGCACGCCCGATGAACTTGACATATCCCGAATCGGATCGGATCAATGGGCGGAGATGAAGGATGTTTTTATACATCTACGCTAGCTGGAGATATTCGCCGAGAGAAAGGAGAGCGAAAGTTCTGAGTTTGTGGGGTATGGTGCCTCCCCACAAAGGCCCGCCAATAGCTCAGCAGTTTCCATTACCTTGGGTTCCTAATTTTCACACATCTGGGGTCCGCTTGCATGTCTGGGGAAAGCAAAAGCCGATTTCGATAGCCGCGGCAAGTGATATTCCAATTATTCCCTGATCTTTGTTCTCCACTTGCCGACAAGGCGTTGTGACTAAAGTTCAATAGCCGACCTGTAGGCTAGCTACCACCCACAACCAAACGTCCAAGTAGGCATAGCTCGATGGGAGTTCCGCGTGGCGAGGTTTTTGGTCGAATGATCACAGCCACCTCCGCCCTTTGATCATCACCCCGGACCTTGAGCATGAATCGCAGGGATAATGACAATGTACTCATGGCAAATCAAAAGCCAGAGTAAACCGATGAACACTTACCATGGCGGGCCGATGGCGTAAGTTGTCAACTCTATCTGTCCCCCACTTTGCCAATTGGCGCGCCTTGGAGGCAGCTCGGCTATTGATACAGTTCTCGTGATGTTATGTCTTCATGTCATGGCGTTTCATCCGAGACTCCAAGCATTCTGGGATGAATTTGTCTAATAGTAACGGTAATTGATTATTGCCACTTCACAAATATTGTATTCAAGAGCGAAAATACTTGTATCCATGTCATCATATCACATCATCCCCATCTCGCCTAGACGGAACGAACTGGCTCCTGCTGGGATGCATTGCGTCCAAGCTTTGTACTCAGTAGTTAGCGCCGACCTTATTTTGGCACATTAAAAGTATAGTCGCGAGATGGGATTTCCTCAGATATTGTGAGAGGTAGCCAAGCAAAGGAGTACATACCCACAATAGCTCCGGTCTACCGGCGTGACCACAATTATCCAAGAAACTCTTCTTAGTAATTAATCTCATGTCCAAGTCCGCATATACAATTCCTTCTTCAGAAGGCAAGTCTTTAGTCAGAAGTCGTCCGTCGGGGCCATAAATCCTGGCATTGCCACCGCCTGGTTGGTTAAACAGGGGAGTCTGTTCGACACCCAGTCTTTCGATAGATGGTTGTGAGATAACGGCTGTTGAGTGAAGAGTGAAACACTGCGCCTGCATAGTATACACTTGAGAAAGATGCAACAGCTACTTTCTGTTACCAGAGTATGTGACATATAAAGATAGAACCAGGCTTGCCTTCATCTGCCATAGAATAGGGAGCTGGCCCGCCTGGATGAGGTGCTACCGGGGGCCAGGCAGCACAGTGAATCTCTTCTCCTTGAGAATAAGTATTATATACAAGAAGTGGGTTGAAGTGATCCTAGATTGTAGATTAGCAATATTTGATAAGGGAAACCAGATGAAGATTAAGAAAAGTGGGAAGTTAGGTTGCAAGACACATACTGCACAAGAAAGTTGTCCAACTCTCCCAACACCAGTCGTTGCGACCTTGTTTAATGAAGGACCATTTCCATCCCCGAAAATGGTACGTTCCATGTGAACAGGCTTGAGTTTTCGCCTAGACATTACCAGCTCACCGGTATTGTCGATAGTACACTGACCAATATATAACGAGTTTCTTTCTCGCTCAGAATAGCCAAGACAAACAACGATGTTATTTTCAGCTGCGCAAGCCTTCAATCGCTCCATCTCTTCGGAGTTAATAGAGAGGGAGTTATCGGCGTAGCGAATGTTCGTCTCGAAATCCATTGCGCGTACCCTGTTCTCTAGATTAGCCCTGTTGCGCTTCAAAAGCACGATTGGAATGCAAACCAAATCCATGCTGGATATCCTGGAACAAATGCCTCTGGGAACGACACAATTTGAGCACCGTTTGAAGCCGCCTCTTTGATGAGTCGGCATGTCTTCGCAGTTGTAGATTCTAGATCAAGCCATACAGGCTCTGCCTGGACTGCAGCTGCCTTCACTATTCGGGGGTTTGAAGCCATAATATGAGTAACAGCGATCGACAAGTGTGTAGACAAGTGTGTAGACAAGTGGGTAAACAACTGGGTAAACAACTGGAACAACTGGAACAACTGGAACAACTGGAACAAAGGTAAGTGTTGAATACTCTTATTTATATGGCATATGCGCACCACCCCCC